GGGACATAAAGACGTGCAAAAATCATCAAATTTAATTAATTAGTTAATTTAGTCAAAAATGCTGCCCAAAGCACCCAAATTTCTTCAAAATAATTACCAATAAATCATTGATAATGTGACAAAAGTACCCCAATCTGCTGTCAGTTGATGTCAAATCCACGATGATTCGCGCACACCTGTTATGCACCTGTAATTCCCGCTCCATTTCGTTCCTGTTCCCATTGGAAGTCTGTGGATTCCCCGCGAATTAATTTTCATACTCAACACCTCTGCCAGCGCCTTGGGGCAGAGCAGCGGCCATAGAGAGACAGAGGGAGGGAGAGAGGCGACAACAAAAACAAGAACCAACAATTTGAATTTCAAATTGCAGAGAATTTTGGGGTGGGAGGAGGAGAAGAGACCAGAAGGAGGGGTTCATCCATCCTTAAGTTTCAAGAGGAGCCAAATCAGCTGACACGAAAACTCAAATGCAGTTGCCCATGCGAATGCAGTGGGGGTTACACTGAGAAAAGTTTCATAGAAGCTAGAACATAATTTAAAGAAAACAATTTACCAGATTCAAAAAATACAACTTAAAAGGCTGAAATCTCGCTGAATTTAAAAGCAATTTATTATATTAAAATATATGTAAATATTTTCACATTTTACAAGAAAACCCGCAAAAACACCACTAAAATTCAAGGTGTACTGGAAAGGAGATGAGTGGGTTGTGTGTGAAAGAGAGACATAGAAAAGTCAGAGCGAGAACGCGAATGTAGGAAAGATCGTCGTCGCCGGTGACAAGCCAATTAAGAGCTCAAGTTGCATCCTCCTCATCAGTGGCCGCCATTTTGGCAACACGGAAAACGTTCAGTTAGCTGTCGTTATACGCTGAGCTGGGAGGGGAAACCATGCCTCTAGACTTTCAGTGGAGTTTGCGTGGCTAATTGCAGCGGAAAATGTTTAAGCCTAAAGCAGGTCTAAACTTCTACCTAAAGCGTTAAATCCATTGAAAAGCTACGTTATGTTTTCATTGTAATTATTCCCCAAATCGAAATATATATATAGTGAAATTGAAAGTTTTAATATAAAAATATAAAAATAGCTTCACTTACCATTGACTGGTCTTTTGTTTCCGGGATTCATCATTTTTATCTTTCCATTATCACACACACACAAAAAATATATATATTTAACAAAAATGTATCTATTTTATATACACATTTACACTTTAATTGCATTATAGGCTTTGGGTACCCGAATCGGTAAAGTCAGTATTTATTTGCATTATTATTCCCAGTTTTCACACACGCGTTCTAATGTTTTTACTCGTTTACAGTTTTTATTCTCGCCTTACAGTTTGATGTTTACAGCAAGCCAACTATACAGTTTTAGAGCTTATTAGATTCATCGGCATAGTTTCGCGATCACTGCGCACATGCCCTGAGGTGTCTCAATTGCGGAGCCTGTGTTTGTTTTTATGGAAACCACCATTTTCATTATAGTTTTTGTTGTTTTTGGCGTTGTGTTTACTTTGCATATTTGCATTCGCCTTTTGTTTACAGTTATTTGCTCGCCTTACAGCAAGCCAAGTTTTAAAGTTGCAGCGTCATCGACACAGTTTTGCGATCACTGACTTTGGTTTTCTAAGCACATGTCCTGCAGGTGGCTCAATTGCGGAGTCCGCGATTCTTTCCTTCCTTTAATGTCTCGCGAGCTAGAATTAAGACGGAAACCATAAGTTTGATTAGCGAACTTTGGGTTTTTGTTGTTTTTAGTGTTTTGTGTTAGATAGCATGCAAATCTTAGTGCAATTGCGAAATTGCAGCCTGGGAAAGCGTTGAAAAGACCTTAATTGGCAGCGAGCTGCTGTGGTTTCGCTTCAGTTTTCTATTATCACTATTTGTGAGTTTGTACTTGCCTTTTACGTTTTACCTTAACCACTTTCTTCAACAGCAGCTGCAGGCGAGACACCGGTTAAATAGCCAAATCTAATTGCGACTCCGTGTTCTGCACCTTTTGACAGCTCATTACGTAACCTCAATCTCTTCTCACTCTCTCTCTCTCTCTCTCGCACGTTCACCCACACATACATATGTACATATGTGGGGGAGAGTTAGAAGACATGTGCGTATGTGTGGGTGCGTAATTTGCAGTTCAATTACCTCGCTAATATGAGATGTCGATATTGCTTCTGCTTCTCCCATTTCCTTCGCTTCTTCTTGTGTGCCTTCCTCCCCTTCTTCAGCCATCGCCCCCGAATTACCGCTCGTAACTCGAATTCGTTAATTATTTTGACAGTCGGCCATGTTGACAGCGGCAGAAGTCAACAGGATGAGAGAAATGAAGAGAGAGTGAAAATTAAACGAAGAGTAAATACTCTAACAGAAAATGGTAAGTAAATATAAATATAAAATTAATGACAAAATTACAATAAATAAAATAAAGTTCATAAATAAAAACAAAAAAAAAGGATATATGTACATAGACATATATAATTAATAAAATCCATTAATTTTTATTTATGAATTGCAAACCCATTCAGTTAGCCGAGTTGACCCTCGTCCATATGCAGGACATCAGAAGTAACGTCTTGAGAAGTCCTGTTGTGGCCACATGAAACTTGCATGAGTCCTGCCAGACCCTTGTCCCGCCCGCCTCCGCTAAGCTCACCGCTCATCCTGTTCGGTCATCTCGATATAACCGTAATTTGTATGGCAGCCATAGCCATTTTGGCCAGCCACTGATTATGCCACATCCGAAATGGACATGTCAAATTAACCGGGACATATAAACAAAGACAGTTACATGCGGTTACATCTTCAATCATGTACATCTTTAACTTCCTCTTAACCGAAACGGATGCTGCCTTAACAGAATCAAACGAAAATTTAAAACTTTACAAATAATTATGGAATTTAGAAATGATAATTTGTGAAAAATTTGGAACCCTTTTTGAATTTAATAAATAAATAATTTAAAAATTATATAAGAAATGTAATGTAATGTAGAATTTGTAAACATTAGAAATATATTAAAGAGTCCAAAAAACTTTAAATTTTCAATACAAGCATTACTTTTATTCAACATTCTTACATCCTATTTACACAGATCTCGCGGGAATGGGGGGCTCCAGCAGCACCTGCCAGATCAGCCAGCCAAGGATGAGTCCATAGCCCAGCCAACCGAGAAGCAGTCGCCGCTGATGCCGCCACTAGATAATGGAGGCTGGATCCTTGACCGTATTGATTACACCCTGCTGTTGCTTGTGCTCATTGTTATTATTATTGCTAACGAAATCCCGTCGCAGGGCATTCCAATTGGGATCGGGATGATCCTTGAGCAGACTCCAGTTGGGCGAAGGGACATCCGGCGACAGCCAATTAAAGTCGGCCACATCTGTGTAGTTATTCTGGGATTTGTTGAGACCCGACAGCAGATAGTCCGCCTCCAGCTCGGGATAATCGTAGTTATACTCCCCGATCTCGATGGCCTGGCAATCCTCAATGATGGCGCGACAGGTGACGTGCAGGTAAATTCGAATGGACTGTGAGGAATGCAATCTCAACTGCTGGCAGGCAATGGAGAGGGTGCACTGGTCCAGATTCTCGGCGAAGAAAGAGCGCGAAATGGGACCGCAGAGCAGGGTGCAGTGGGTGGCGTGCGAAACCTGAACGGATCCCGGATGCCCTTGCAGTTCCACCAAACAGTGATTCACATTTGAGATGGTGATGTCCTGGCCATTGACTTGGCTGGACTTGAGGACTATATGCTCGTTCTTCCTGTTCTCCAGGGTCCAGCTAAAGTTGGAACTCGGTTTCTCTGGGGTTTTGGTTATGTTAGAGTCCACTTTATCCTTGGTTACTTGCGGCTTTTGCTTGATGGCCACTGTCTTTTTGCCACTGAAACCGAACTTCTTCTTGGGCATCAGACGCTGACGGGCCTCGTCGTTGCTGGCGGTCAGCGTGTTCAGAATGTTCTGGCAGGACTTGATCTTAAAGTCCGAGAGGAACATGGTGGAGGCGGTGAGATAGCGCTGCAGCTCCTGGATTTGCATGGTTATTGCAGTAAATCTCTGGGTTAAGTCCGATGGGGCAGGAGGTGCATCGCCGCTGTTCAATTCGTTCAGTCTCTGCTCAATATCGAAGGCCTGCTGGGTAAAACTCTGGGCAAAGTAGTCCACGCCCTCGTTCTGCACGGTTTCCTTTGAGCGCTGCTCCAGCTTCACATCCAAATAGTTTTGCCTGTCCTTGTTGCGTTTGTTTAGTCGCTCCAGCACATGATCCTTGCGATTTTCCCCGTCCTCCTCCATTTTTCTGCGGGTTTAAGTTATCTGCACGAAAAGGAAAACTGGTTAAAAATCAATTTTTCAGGCGGAAAAACATCTTTCTTTCTGTGGGCGACAATGAATCACAGTTTTTGTTGACACCACAGTTGCGCAGCTGCAAGAAAATTCGTGGAAATCTTGGTCTTGCTTTCGGGAAAGCTATATCCGCTTATACCTTGAGCTTTAGCCTTCTTGAAAAACTCTTGTTTATGTTGAAAATATTAACCTTTTTGTGAAGTTTTTAATTTATTTACTCCAACTAAGAAAACAATTGTTAGAAACAGCTGTGAGTAGAGTGTGACCAGAGTTGCCGTTTATTATGGTAAAGTTCGGCTAACGTAACGGGTCACACCCGGTTAGACAAGACGTAAGCAAGGAACGTAAAAAAGCAACGTAAGTAAACCAAACGTAAGAGTTTCTTACGTTGTTGGTAAATTAAAATTTAATCTTTAACTTCTTAGGAAAGGGCTATAAAAATATTATATTTTTAAAAAATATCATATTAAAAAAAAATATTATATTTAAAAAAATATATTATATTTAAAAAAATATATTATATTTAAAAAAATATATATTTAAAAAAAATATTTATTAAAATATGAATCAGAAACCTTTATATTTTTATAGGAATTTAAAACTCCATTTAAACCCCCCAAAAAAATTAAATTAAAAACGAATATCTTATTTCCTGGTTTCTGTCAATTTTTTTTTATTTTTTTATTTTTATTTTTATTTTTTTTTGTTTTATTTTCGATCAAAACTACAGGCAAACAGTTTAAGAAGCGGTGTCATTTAGAGTTGACGGCGTGTGTGTTGTGTGTATTGCTTAATTGGCTTACAATTATCAAGTTGAACATATTTACAATTGAATTTCGTTAAATACATAAACGTAGTATGTATAGTTTATATATAATATATATAATTAGGTGTGTGCTTGATGTGTGAGTGTGTGTGTGCCCTAGTTTGCATGCAAAAATGTCCTAAAAAGCATTTGTACTTCTAACTTTCGTTACGTTTCCATTCATTTCAACACTTAAGTACTAGGAAAATTCTTAAATACAACTTGATTTCTTTGTATTCTTTGTTTTTATGTTTGGTATTCTGCTTAGGTTTTTGCTTAGCTTCCGCTTCTGTTACCGTTTCCGTTTCGTTTTAAGGCACATGACACATTCCTGAATATGATGTGCGTTTTATATAGTAGTTAAGTAAGTAAGTAAGTAGGTAGGTAAGTATTAGTTATAACACATTAAAACTATTGACTACACAATTCTTTTTAGATTTAGAAATTCACTCGCAAGTTGGGGAATTTGTGCTTCATTTTCTCAAGAAGAGAAGCCAAAATTTCAACAGATGCATATTGACCAGCAAATGACTAATTTAAAGATCAAAACAATGAATAAAAAAAGTAAATTTCTCGGAAATGTTATCGCGCATCATTTGTATGAATATATATAAATATAGATCGTTAGGATCTCCACTTTATATAGATCATGAGAGCTCGCCAATGGGAGCATTCTGCAGCCACAGATCGTGAATGAAGTTGTACAGGTTATCGCTGACGGCCACCTGGAATAAAATGTATATAATTTAAATTTAAAACGTTAAATATTTTATAAACTAAACAACTCACCTTGTAGGGCGTGGGATTGAGCGTGCGCTTGTGATCATTCCTCAGCGTTTTCAACGAGATTTGCACCTTTTCGCGAACCTGTTCCAGGGTCGGCAACTGCTGGCATATCTTGCCCGCTTTCCAGTACACCTTGTACAGCGACTCCACATGCGAGGGTATCACATAAGCGCGCTTTGACTCTTGGAAAGGATGACGGCAGAGCACCTTTTGACCCACTGCCGGCGGTGGCTCTGAGACCTTTTGCAGAAGATCGATGAGGGCATGACCATCGGCACTGTACAAACGATAGGCATTCTTGTTGCCCGGCATCGTAACCTTTTCCACATCCTGACTAAGCTTGATTCTGGGCTGGCCATTGATCTCTACCAGCTTGTAGACACAGCCCAGGGCAGGCTGACGCTGGCAGGTTACTTGAAAATGTTTTAAAATAATTATTTGCAACTAAAAACTAACCAAAACTAACTTACCCAAGTGCGTGCCAATGCCAAAGCAATCAATCTTGTGTCCCTGCTCATTGAGACTCAGTATGGTGTCCTCGTTGATATCATTCGAAGCCACAATGGTCAGCTTGTTGAACCAGGGCACCTTGAAGCGTTCCGCCACCTTCTCGAAGGTTTCCCTAGCCAAGCAGGATAGATATGCCAAATCTCCCGAATCAATTCGAATGCCCAAAGCATGATAACCCAAATCGTTGAGGGCCAAGGCCACGGCACTGAAATTGAGAAGACCGCTCCTAAAGAGAAGAAAGTAAAGTAGATATGATTAGTAATCACTTTGGTAATAAGCTTCATTAAGTGCTGCTTGGTTTTTTTTGTTTAATTCAATTCAACAAAGAATATATCTCTCATTTTGCTATACAATCATCTTTTTTTTATTGCCACTAAGTTTAAACTTTAAAGCGAGAATTACACAAAAACAAATGCTGTTTTAGGTGTGTGGAACAGTGGAGCTAAGTAAAAACGTGTTGAAAGAACCACTGGTGGTTGCAAGTGCCACTAGCAAAAACAATCTGACTGGTAATATCATCTCTCATTTCTCATTTTACTGAGAGCAGCACAAAATGTTAAAATTCTTTCGGTTTTTTTTTGTTTATTTTCAAGCCATGCAGTGTGCTCTCTCGGACGCTTTTCTATATAGTTTATAACTATATACAGTTTTATAAAACTAAGAAAAAAATTCAGGTTTCTTTTGAAATTTATTAGAAAAAAAATCATTTCAATATCTTTGGGTTGTTGGGGAAAAGAGGGAGAAAGATTGAACAAAACAAAACAGGGGAAAAAATGTTTAATAAAAGTTAACAGAGGATCTTTTTGTGGAGGGACAAAGACAATAATAGGGTTAGATTCCATGACAGCATTAGGGTGATTCCAGTGCATGTTTCCTTTGAGTTTCATATTTATTTTTTCAGTTTTATTGCCTAAAATCTAGTTTAGAACGTTTAAAATTATATTTATTTCATTTTACTTTAGGTTATTATTTTATTTTTTCCATTTTACTTAAGTTTATTATTTTTAATAATTTTATTCAGTCATTAAAGTTTTAAATTGTAATAGAAAATGCTTCTCTGATAATTAAAAACTGGCCAAAAACAATAATGATGCACCAAAAAAATCGAATAATAAGATGCGTAACTCCATACTATTTTATTTTATTAATCCAATTCTAAAAGTTTTAATAATTTTTAAGTAATAACTTTATTAAAATTGCACTCTGTTTGACTTAATAATTGTTATGTGTGAGTTATAGGTTTGGTTTGTCATTTATGCATGAACTTTGGTTTGCTGTTGTTGTTGTTGTTCAGTAATTGTTGCTTTCGAGTGGGGGAGTGGTGAGTATATATGCCATATGATATAGTGTTTTGCTGTTTATAATATCATAATGTTGTTGTTGGTTGATTGATTGTTCGAATTGTTTTGTAACTTGAAGACGTGTGTTTTACATACCTCTGCCAAAATAGTGCCGGAAGTCATTTGTTTACTATGTTAGGTTTCGTAAATTCTTGTTTGTTTTTTTCGATTCGATTTATGAGTTTCTGATTCTGATTCGGGTTTCGATTAATGTTTTTTTTTTTTATAACACATTCACATTTAGGAAGAGAAAATAAAAAGCATAGTAAACAAAATGTAGTTAGAAAAAGGTAAATGCTAAACATAAAAAATGTAAAATGAGAATTTTAGTAAAGATACACAGCAAAAAAAAAAAGTGTTAAAGCAAGTTTAGAAAGCGGGAGAGTAGGAAAAAGCAAAGGAAATAAGATACAAATAAATTGACTTCACCTGTTCGGGTTGTCTTAGTCTTTTTGCCAAAGGAATATTTCAATATTTCCCAATTATTGCGATGACTTTGAGTACCAATTTAGTTTTTTTAAATTATTTTCAAACACCAAAGCATAGGACATATACATATATCAGCTTAAATATACACATATATATGCCTGTATATGATGGGTTATAATTTTTGGAATTTAGTGGCTACAATTTTGGTTAATTATATATATTTTGTATTCGATGAAACAACATGCAGGGAAATCCATAAAAATATGTAGTTATAGCATTAGATGTATAAAAGTAATGTAAAGTCTGATTGAAAGCCCAGAAATTAGCGTAAGAAAATATGTGAATGTTAGTTTATAATGAATGAACAAATGAACAAAATCGTTTCAAATCAAAGAAATACATTTAATGGTTCCTATTTTTTGGAATACTTTGAATTCAATTTCTTTTCTGTATTCATTTATTCGGGTTTTTTTGTTTACGATTTATCAACGACATTTACCTGAATGACTTCTCGACATATTTTGGTAGGTATGCCGTCCCATTGGACGTTGTTGTTGTTGTGGCTGTTGTTGTTGTCTTTGCTGCTGCTGTTGTTGCTGTGTTGGCCTTAGTATCTTGTATCTTAGTATCTTTACTCTGAACAATAATACCATTCTGATGGCCATTGGTCTTGTGTCCATTTATTTTGCCATTACTCTGACCATTTTGATGGCCATTTGTCGATGGCTTTTGCTTTGGCGGACTGTTATCAGACTTGATATCATTGATAAGCTTGGGTTCTAAGCTGGCCTGTTCTGTTTCTCGGCTGTTGGATAATACTTTGGATTATTACTCAAACGAAAAAGAAACCAAAAACAAGAAAGTGATGATTTCTAGCATGAAAAAATCTTGGGAGAAATGTATGGGGGAATTATCTCACAGAAAAAGTTATTTAATTAATAGTTACTTCTGTTTGTTTGTTTTTTGCGGGAGTTTCTGGTGCACGTCTCGAGAGTCTCAAATACTTTTACAAAATATATCCAAAAAAAGAACGATGGGGAGGAGGAAAAAACAACACAACACAAGAACAAAAGGATCAACCGAAACCGTAAACTCTGATAACTAAAAACCGTTCCGAGAGAATCTGCCTAGAAGCGAAATACCTCTTAACATCGTACGTATCGACAAGAGCCATAAATCCGTCGGGGAAGGCAATGGCATAGGACACCATTGCCGCCAGTTCACCCTCACTCGACTCCTCCGTTGAGACGTCTAGAACATGGGATAGCATCTGACGATGCCGCACAGCGTGCTCTAATAGATCCTCCATGATGCCTGTTGAAGATTTTATAATAAAACTCGTTTCTTAATTGGTTTTTAATGTTATATTTTACTTACCCGTTTGCTTGTGCTTAATGAGACGTGTCTTAAGTTCGCCAATGCTGCTAAAACTAGTGATATAGGCATGGGCATGGGTGCCCTTTACGGGTATGTTGAAGAGCTTTCCGGCCAGGACATTGGAGGTGCCATCAAAACCACCTGAAAAGAAGAACAATTTAGAATTTATAAAGAGCTATTTTTCAAAGAATCCATCTTAGAATTCTCAAGTCTGAATTCGGAGGATGAGGAAGATAAAAAATATTTTAAAATAAATTTAAATTAAAATATCCTCTCTTTTCACTTACTAAAACCCCAATTATTAACTTGCAAAATCCGTAAAAATCACAGCTGTAAAACCTAATTAAATAAGTTCCCAAGTTTTAAATATCACCTTAATGGTCTTACATCACCATATTGCGCCATTAGTGACGGAAATTCCGACTCAAACATTTCAATTTTTTAGCCTTCCCCTTTCATTTCTCACAAAAAAAAAAAAAAAGGGAAGCCTTGACGGCGGAACCTTGACGCCAACTGGACGACGGCGTGAGTCACGCCGCGCACGCGAAGCCCTCCATCGATTCCGGCGGGGGAGTGATACTCCCATATAGAAGGATATATCCCAGGAACGCATTATAAACTTGGAGCAAGTTACGATGTGTGAGCGCCAATTGAAAGACTCTGCTGGAATATATGTGTACCTTTCCCTCGCTTGATTTCTGTTTGGGTGCCTGGCACCGAATTTACCTTTTCCCTATACATGGACACCCTCCAATATCCATCCAATATTTCCTATGTGGGCGGCGTTGCGTGTGCCACCCACTTTGCGAATTTTTACTGCCTTCGGGGCGCACATTTAGTTTAACACATAAACAAGAGTTCTTGAATTTCTGCGGGGGCGAACGAGGAGAAGCCTCGATGGAGGAGAAACGGAAGCCTTGGTGAAGGCGCAGAATTACTCATAGTTTTCGGTAGGGGCCTTGAGAAGAGGAGGAGCCGATGGAGAAATCGGAAATCACAGAGGCAGGCAGGCAGGCTGAGCTTCTGACAGTGACACGTGCTTTGCATGCATGCACATCATAAAAAAGTCAGGCACAAAACAATATGAAAAGCACCTTCTATACTTCCTTTTTCTCTTCTTTTTTTTTTTGTTGTATCCTCGAACGATCAAGCTGTGAGACGATAAGGTGGCTATTAGGGTTTTTGGATACCCTGTAATTATTTCTTTTATGTGGGGGATTTGGGAAACTTTACCAAAATATATTTTTTAAAATGATAAATATAAATCTAAATCAATTATATCGATATTTTACCATAATAGGCGATTTTAATCGATATTTAAAATTTTGATATATCGAAGTTTACAATATTTTGGATATAATATTGATATTTCCTATCGATATACCGATTTAGTTTGTAAAATATTTAAATCTAAACTTTTAGTCACACTTTAAGAAGATTTCAAACCATTATAAATTTTTAAAAAATATTTTTATAATCATTATGAAAATCTTTTAATCTTTACCCACTAAACTTCTATAAAACCAGGTTTCTATCAAAATTGCTAAAATCATAAACCCTTTATTTTCACCCCTAAAAAGTTACTTTTTGACTGTGGAAACTTTACCAGAGCTTTCTGCCCACCTGCTGCCCTACTCCCCTATTATTTTTAATTGATAATGAGCTGTCTGCATGCAATTTGGCAATGCCGAAAAAAATGTTTATATCGCACACGTTTGACCTTACTTGTCACGGCTCTATATAGAACCCATACCCATGAAGTGTGGGTCGTGTGAAAGTTCACGTTTTTTTTTTATTACCTGTATAGGAATATTTCGATGCGGATAGACCGCCATCCGGTCCCTGGGCCCGACGCAATCCAAATTCCAATAGTTTGACATGTTTGCCAGCTACCATGCGATATCGGGCTGCATTCGTGGCCATTAAACTGGTGCAGGGTAGAGGGGGAGAAGGGGGAACTATTAGGCAATTTCCAGATAACAGAAGAGGAGGTAAGCTTACCTGGCATAATTCACCAAGGTGAGAAGAGTCGTTTCTAGCAGCTGGACTATGATCAAAGGTCCCTCGATCTTAATGATGGGAACGCTGAAAAGAGTTATCATAAATTAATTAGACTGTGCAAAAGATAAACAAAAAACACTTTATGCGAAAGCTTAAACTTATCAACAATGTAGACTAAGCTATTCTTAACTCTTTTAATGCTTAAACAATTAAGTTGTTTCTAGAGATAGCATTCATTATTATCTCTGCTTGGGTTTTATCACATCAACAGCCTTAAAATAACTCAGACAGACTGCTTACATTTTACAATTATGAAAAATAAATATAATAAACATAAAGTAATTGGGAGTTTAAATATATAGGTGGGTTTTTACTGCTTTGTGTGTTGCTAAAAATAAAATTTTAACCATAAATCTACGACTTTTCAGGGAGAAAAAGTCCAAAAATATCGTTTTTTGCATTAATATATCGATTTGAAACATTTATATGTCGATAAATATCGCACAGTAGTGATTTTAAAAATTAAAAAAAAAATTAATAAATAAATATAAACTAAAACGTTTCAAAACAATTAACTATTAAATAAAAAACCTCTATAGACAATAACCCACCGTGGAAATGCTACCGTGCCCTCATCAATGGCAAACAAGGTGACATCCCGCGCCGTCAGATTGCCAAGGTACTCAAAAAATTCGTTTTCAATGCCCTCGGGCAGTGTTTGCTTTAGGTATTCGATATCTGAAACAAGCCCAATCACACCGATTAGCTAATGGAAATACAAAATATATAGTAAATTTATAGAAACTTACCGCTTTGGGAATAATGGAAGCTATCCAGGAATTTGAGGCACTCCTCGAGGCCAGCGAAAATTGTGAATTCGCCGTGGAATGGATTATTACGAAAGAACAGATCGAATACCGCCGTGTCATCGGTCTTATCGGATTTCCAATAAGCATAGGCCATAGTTATCTGATACAAATCTGTAATGAAAAATATCCATAGATATAGTAATATATTTAATAATACCAAATATTATTATTAGATGTCAGTACAGGCAAGATTGTGTAACACAAATGTACTGTGAGAACCAAGGGTAATTAGAATTTAAAACGTTGAATTGTGGTATGCAAAGATTTTAAGTTTTTGTGTATTAAATTAAAAGAATTTAGATTAGTTAGGACTTGTTTTAGTGAAAATATATACTGAATACTTAGAGATCTATGAGAACTGAGCTTTTTGTGGCGCTAATTGTTTGAATCTTGGTATGTAAGGTTCCAAAGCAAATGTATTTATTATACAAAAAAATTAACTTTATTTAATAAAATATAGAAAGTTTAGAGTTATTGCCTAAACATAAATTTACTTAAGATTACACTAGAATTCCCAACTAGTTCTAGTAGAAAAATGGTGGTAATTGACGCATTTTATAAAAGCCTGCTGATTTTTTTGGTACATATTTGATTTTCAAAAAAAAATTTTATATTTTTGATATATTTTTTTAAATATACAAGAAGTTCTATCTTTATATCAATGGTCCCCTAATCTTATCCTTAATACTAGGATTATATTTATTTAAATTAAAAATTATGTAATATTTTCTAAGGCTCCCCTGTACAAAGTAGCTAAAACTTCATTGGCCCAGAATCGTGACAGATAAGATAACCTGGAAAGTCCGCTGCTGATGGGGGCAATTAACGCTACTAAACCGAAAGTGGCAGACAATCAACACATACACCACACAAAACAAAAAAAAAATAATAAATAAAACAACACAAAACCTGCAAATAAAATGCTAATTCTTATCTAAGTGCAAAGACCTAAAGATCGGGTATTTTATTTATTTGCGCTCGTGTCTGCAGTGACTAAAAATATTTGAATATATATAGAGAGAGGTATACAAGCCAAAATAGCATTGCATAGCGCGCCAAATTGTCTCTGTGAAAATGTCAGCCGGCTTTAGATGGCTTTTGGAAAACAAAATTAAAGTTTACTTATTTTGGCGGTACTCTAAAAAATAGCTCTATGAAAATCTAAAAACTTTTTAAGGGATTTTATAGCATTATGGGTATTAAGAATATATTTAAAAAGTATTTTAATAAGCTTTTTAAACACAGGTAAAAAATATATTTAATTTAACAAAAATAAACTCTTCCCCTAATAAGATATATTTTCATTCTTTTATTATATTTTTGGAAAGCAAATAAATATTTTTATACAATAAACTTACATCTGACTTTTTGATTAAAAAAATTAATAATTTCAAAACAAATTACTTTAATATTTATAAAACTAGTATCTTTTAAATTTAATAAAATTTCATTCCTGGAAAAATACTCGCCCAGTCCGATGTATTCCGATAATTCCAATATAAAATCATTCCAAGAATGTATAAATAAACATTCCTATATTATTTCGCAGTGCATCTACTCACCAGTTAGCAGTGGCTGGACCACTCCATTCTGATTCATCCGTCCGCGATCCATAAACTGGCCGCCCGCACTGCAGCTCAATTCACGGTCGTTCATTCTGTGGCCTATCTTGGTTAGTTATCGCTACTATATGCCGGGCTATACTTTTCCGATGGTTTCGTATTTGACCTTTCAGTTCGTACGTTCACACACGCGACGGGCAATAATATAAATGTGCCAAATAAACAAATTAATTAATTGTTTTGGCTTATGGGGCTTGGCGTTTTTACTCGGACGAAAGCCGTTGAACTTTTGCTTTTTGTTTTATATCTGTAAATGGGTAGAAAATTGTTTTGCAATTGTCGCTGGAGGAGAGGGTTTGTTGGATGGTTTTTTATTATTTTTTTGAGCTCAAATGACGTAAGAATCGCGTTGCTATTGGGCGAGCTCGTGTTGAAATAGTTTAGCATTAGAATGCAATGGAGACAATTGTGAGTATTTAAATCGATTAGACTGTGTAATACCCTGGTAATTGATGTCTTTTGTTTGTTTTATATCTCAACTGAGTTAGCTTTTGTTTATACTCTTTTTTGGGGAGAGGTAAGCTGATCTAGCTTTTGTTTATGTTTTTTAGGGTACGTCTAAGCAAACTTTTTTTGTAAAATTCTTGGCTTATATCATATTTCATGTTAACTATTTACAGTTATTTACAGTACAGTTTTTAATTTAAAATTTTTTAATATTTAAATAACTTTATAAAATAATTTTCGGAATGAAATTAAAGGTTTTTCTTATTAAAACAGTTTTATTTATTAAATTTAGATTTTTTTTCTTTAGTAAAATACAAAATAAAAAGTTTACTTTTTTTTATTAACTCTGGAAAAACCCAAAAATATTTCCTATATTTAAAAGAAAACTTTTAAAGTTTAATTTATTTTTAGAATTTGTTATAAAAACTTTAAGGCTGAAAGGTCAGTTCATAAATTTATTACCAAGTCACCAAAAGATACGAATTTTGCCAAGATAATGCACGCAAAATAATGCCTGATCAGCATTACTATTTAAAATATTCTAATGAAAACCCCTATTTAGACCAACTTGTGCTTGATTTTCTTTTAGTTTTTTATTTATTTCACAATAACGAAAACAACGAAAATAAAACGCAAAATAAACACAAAAACTCTTGAGTTGCTTGTGAAACACTGCTAATTAGCATAAGGGCAATAAACACACTAGTTTATGTTGGGGCTCCTCCGCTCTCTGTTATCAAAATAGGCAAAAAAAAACACGATGAAGGCACCGGCTGCTGCTTTGTCGATTGATAACGCGATTAGTGTTCGTTGTTTTATTCAAATGATCACTTTTTTTTGCTCTGCCAACTTTTCCGCTCAGCTTTTGAAGTTGAAATGAATTCGAAATTCGCCAAAGCTACCGCGCTAACCGAAGAGAGCGAACACGCGAGAAATAAAGATAAAGATTGCGAGAGACAGCCGGAGAGCGCAAAGATGCAGTTTTTGTTGATTTTTGTTGTTGTGTTGCTATTGGCACCCGATTATTTGTTGTTTTTAGTAACATGCTGCGTGTGCACCAACACATGCGCAGCTGTTCGACTGGGTGGCAGCTCTGGCCGACGGACTCGACCCTGGCCAAGGTCAAATTCGCACTCCTGAGAGGGTTGGGTGGGCTTTCACACGCATCTTCCGGGCTTTTCTGTGGGCGGAGTGGGCTGAAGGCGAGTGGGCGAAAATTTGGTGGGGCGTGTCGCTGCTTGGCATGATGGCAGAAGCGCGGAAAACGCGAAAAGCCCGGCTTGCGAAGGTCTGGTAGCACTGCGGGGAGGGGGAGTGGCGGGCGGAATGATAACATAGGGGCGGCGGCGGGAGAATTCTGTATGCACTTTCACTTTTTTTGGGCACACTTTAATTCATGATTCTTAATTGGACTTGTGAAATTCTTAAATGGCTTGGTATTTTCCAATTTAGAACCGACATTCAATAGATCTTACTTTTATTTAAAGCATTGCCTATTTTTTATTACACTATTTTGCCATACGAGTTTATTGTTAACCGTTTTGTACACTAGAAAAGTAAAATTACTTTTTATTCATTGAGCGCACGCACGCTCTTCTTTTTATCGGCTATACAGCTGATAAGGCGGTGCTGCCAACTCGGGCAACTCTGTGTGGGCAGTGCTGGGAAACGGTGGGGGCTAATTGGCGCCCAGAAAACTTTATAAACTTTCATAATTTTCATATTTCAATTTTCAATTTCAATTAAAAAACAATTTATTTTTAAAGCTACTGAGGCTTACCTTTTGTCTTATCTTCTAACATTTAAAACATTAAGCTCTATTCCACGCTTGGCGAGTTGTCCACTTCCGGTGGCCAGTCCAGATCAATGCCCACCACATCCAGGGCTTGTATATCAATGGCCTGGCCAATGATTGAGGCAAAGGAGGGCGTCGTCCTGCCAAATTCCCCGTGAACCAGCTCCTTGATGTACGTGCCCGCCTGCGTGACAATGTCGATGACGAGTGCCTGGGGATTCCCACGTTGTACCTTCGCTTTAACACTATAAATCGTTCGGGGACGCGTGTGCAGAGGACGACGATGAAGCACTCTGATGGGGGTCTTTTGTTGTATATCAAAGCTCTCGGGGATTTGTAGTTTCTGTAGGATCTCCACTGTAACTGGTTCTTTGAGTGCGCACAGAGCACGATAGAATTTCTTCTTTTGCTCCTCGCCCGTCTTAATGTGGGTGAGTTCCTCCCGGGGCACCACTTGTAGATTGAGTATGGACACCTTGCCGGACCCATCCACAGCTTGCTCCATTTTATAGGCCTGCTCTGTGGTCAGGGAACTCCGAATGGCATTTGGTATTTCCAAAACAAAGGGTCTTCCTTTGCCCAGACACCGAACATCCACATCTTCCCTGCCGCTGGACATGAAGTTGATTTTCTCCAGTTTCTCCGCAAAGTGTGGTCCCACATTCCGGATGATGATCTCCTCGATGCTGTCCTCCATTAGCCTCTGACCATTTAAGATCCACGGCGTGTGCGATAGTTCCCGGCTGAGCTTTCGATACCTGCCGGCCACACAGACCAAAGGACCCTGCAAATCGATGGATACAAGCTTAAGGGGCTCTTCGACGCCGGCACATGGTATCTGGTAATATTTCTCAAAGATTTCCGCCTTAACTTTCGCCGGCTGATACTGCTTCTCGAGCAGGCCCCGCGAGATTTCGATGCGCTTCTGATGGGCAGCCTTGGCGGGAAAGGCCTCCCGGTTAAGACCCACCAGCTTTTCCACCTCGCCGGCCTCGAGGCTGTGCGTCACATCTATGTTGATCATCAGGCCATTGGCATCGTATTCCTTGGCCAGCTTTTCGCATATGATGGGGTGCAGGATCAGTTTAACGGCCTCCTTGATGGGCACATCCGGCGGATTGGTGCCGTCCACGGAGGCTCCAAATCTTTTTTGCAAAGCAAACCACATGGCCAACTGGCGCAGCTGCAAGACCATTGGCAAACTTATGGCCAGCACGATTTTTTGGCAATCGTATTTGGCAAAGTCCGAGGTGAGAATCCCCTGGAGTAGCTCCCGCTGAAATTCCTCCGAAAATAGTCCCAAACACGTGGAACAAGTGCTCAAGCGGGCTTTCTTAGTCGGTTGTTCTTCGGGGAATACGATATCGCCCACGTTTTCCTCATTTTCATTCACTTTTATATCCAACTGAGCGTTTTAAAAGGGGAAAGTTAACTTTTATTAGACTCAATTTGGTTAAAGTTCACATATTACTCACCCGGCGCAGAGTTTCCTTGATATCCTTGTATTCCGATCCTCTAGCCTTCAAGTAGCGCAGCTGGCAGACCTCGCACACGCCACAGGACCTTAAATAATCAACTAAATCCTGGTTTTTCATGGCTTTCTTGTGAACAAACGAAATATTTTCGTAAACAAAACGTGGATAGCGGTTCGCGCGTTTACCAACACTGCAACCATCAGCTGTCACCTGTCAACCGGCGTTGATCAACACAGGTCTTGGAGGCGCAGATAAAAAACACAAAATAATTGTTTTCATTGCAAATTTTCAGCAATTTAAGGTTTGTTAATTTATAAATCCCTCAACAACGGGATTGGGAGTATATTTTAGGGTTGTTAAACACAAAAGAGCAATGCTTGCAGCCATGGTTAACCGCTTGTGGCCGTTGTTTATGGTTACGTCACAGAGAGCAGACTGGGATAACTTGCACTGAATTTGCAGAATTTTAGTAATTAAGTGATTATATCTTGTTTTAGGCATCATGTCGCTGACTCCCTTTCTGCGCCTGCCCCTAACGGATCTGACCGGCTGCCTGATCAACCATCAAACTTACGACAAATGCGGCAAGTTCGAGATGAAGATGATGGAGTGCTTTGAGGCCTATGGCCTGGAGCGCGGAAAGCGCGAGTGTGCCGACCTTATTTCCGATTTCCAGGAGTGCGTTGGCATGCAGAAGCAGTTAATGCGTTTCCACGTAGGTTTTTCCACAGCTTTATATCGATTTCAAGCTGCATTTATTTATAAAAACACCTTTTCAGGCCATGCGAAATGAGCGCTATAAGCAGTGGCTCAAGGGAGAGCGCAAGGGCTCGGAATTCTTTGCAGAGCCCCCTCGCGTGGATGCCTATTAGAAGGGGAGCCTGTTTTCTCGAGTAATTGCATATTGTATAGCCGCAAATTGTGTAAAAATAAAGAAAATTAGAAAACCCAAGAATCCATTTAATCAGCTGTTTTGGTGCAGATTGGCAGGCCTCCTTCGATCAAGAGTCTGGCAGCACTACCCGTTTTGAATAGGTTGGCAGTTCTCGTGTTGTGTTTGTTGTGAGACTGCGGAAAAAAATTAATTATTTTAATATTTCTGCCAAATAAAGCAACAAAATGGGCACCAAACGACCCAATACAAGCGTGGTACTCGCCCAGGAGTCAAAGCGCAGTAAAAGCGACCTGGTGGCCTACACAAATCGGGACAAAGCGCTCCTGGAGTCGGTAAGCGTGGTGGCAAGAAGAAGCATGTTGAGAGTTTCCCCCAAGAAAATTGTTTATTTGTACTTTTATTGTTAATTTTAGGGCGTAAGGCGTACATCTAACCTGCAGGCGCCCATAATGCAGCTAGAGGGACATGAGGGCGAGATCTTTACCACAGAATTCCATCCCGAAGGCGAGTTACTGCTCTCCTCCGGCTTTGATAGGCAAATTTGTGAGTGAAATTTAAGCCAAAAATTGTTTTTAGTTAATATTAATTATAAATTTATTCCAGATATCTGGCAGGTTTACGATGACTGCGAGAACGTTATGGCCATGTCGGGACACAGTGGCGCCGTAATGGAGGCTCACTTTACGCCCGATGGCTCGCACATCTTTACCTGCTCCACGGACAAGACCCTGGCCATTTGGGACATTGTCACCGGGCAGCGTCAGAGGCGTTTCAAGGGTCACAGCAACTTTGTGAACAGCGTCCAGGGCTCGCGACGTGGCCAGCAGCTGCTCTGCTCGGCAAGCGATGATCGCACCATTAAGATTTGGGATGCCCGAAAGAAACATGCTGCCCACACACTCGAATCACCGTACCAAGTGACATCCGTGTGCTTTGGCGATACCGGAGAGCAGGTCATAAGCGGTGGCATCGATAACGAAGTCAAGATTTGGGATATACGAAAGCAGGCTGTGCTGCATCATCTCCGTGGGCACTCGGACACCATCACCGGCATGTCGCTATCGCCCGAAGGCGACTTTGTGCTTACCAATGCCATGGACAATACGCTGCGAGTGTGGGATGTCCGACCGTATGCCCCAGGCGAAAGGTGCGTCAAGGTCTTTCAGGGCCATCAGCATAACTTTGAGAAGAATCTGTTGCGCTGCGCTTGGTCGCCGGGCAGCGACAAGATATCCTCGGGCTCTGCCGACCGGCATGTCTACATCTGGGATGTGAATACGCGGAGAATACTGTACAAGCTGCCCGGTCATAATGGCAGCGTCAATGATGTGGACTTTAGTCCAAAGGAACCGCTCATACTCTCCGGCTCCAGCGATAAGACCTTGTATCTGGGCGAGATTGACGATTGACGACTGGCAGATGAGCCCGAGATGCGTGCTCTCTTGGACACGCCTTTGGAGAGCAAGTAGAGTTCAGTTTAAGGATTAAATATAACAAAATAAACTATTTTAGCGATTAATTTTGGTTGCTAAATACTAAAAATTGTGTTATTGAACTACAAAACGTGGCAACTTTCCTTTTAATTTATTTCCCAGAAGAAAGAGCTTGCTGATAACAACAATCGAAGGCTAGTAATTGCAAGACCCATGACTCACAGCGTGAAATAAATAATAAACATTAAATTGGAAATTTTTTGAGAGGCGTTATTATCACAAATAAGTTTTATTTTGGATTGATCAATGAGTTTTTAAATAAGTTACAATTCGTTGCTGCTGCTAGGGCTGCTGCCTGCGGTGGTGAATGATGCTTTGTTTTATGTTTTTTATTTCCTTTTCAGACGGGCAAAGCACTTGTCGAGGCCGAAACACTCGTCTTGAAGAGCTGACCAAAGAACTTGAGACCCGTTGCCCCGCCGGGCACCATGCCCAGGATCATAAAGAGCAGAGCTATTATCTGGGCCACTGCAAATAGGACCGTGAAGGCCGTGCTCTTGGCCACCAAAGCGCAGTACAGCGTCAGCAGCAAACAGAAGCTGTAGGAGAGCGAGGTCAATAGACGCTGCTTGGAGAACATCTGTCGGAGAAAGGCGCCAAAGCCGGAGAGGAAGCAGAAGCTGAGGATGAAGAACAAGCTGCCCAGGGTGTACAGCAGGGCGAACTTTCTTGCTTTCAGGATCAGAACGGGAATGTAGAATGTGGAAAGGGTCATGCACAGCCCGCCCATGCCCAGGCAGGCCACAAAGCCCACGATTCGCTGCAGGCGAGACTGTAAGTAGCGGGGATTTTTTAGTTATTTTCCATTTTAAGCAATAGATTGTATATTCGTTAGTTACCAATTTGGGGCAACAGGAATCCTGGGTGTCCTTCAGCCAGCTATTTTGAACCTCCGGTTCTGCGCCCTTGGAAAAGAATCCCAAACTGGGCACTTTCAGTTGTGGCAGCTTGACATTAAAGCTCTTCTTCTGGTCGCTCTGCAGCAGCAGGTATTCGTCTAAGTCAGACTTTAAACTACTCATCTTTTCACTGAATTTCACTGAATTAATGCAAATATTATTTATGATCCCAAAAGCAAAACAAAACAACAGTGTTACCAGAACGGCCAAGTTGGAAGGCACTAAAAATGGCCACATAAGAGGAAGCATTTAAAATTGCAAAACTCTTTAAGAATATATTTAAGGTTTTACATGAAAATCTTTCAAAATGTAAGTCAGATATGATTTAGATTTTAATTGCTTTTTTTCTACAATATAAGATAAACACAAACATAATTTAAATAAGAGACAATAGCCAAATGTTGTTAGGAACATGTTGAGCAACACCCAAATACAGACACATGTTGTTAGCAACATATTGAGCTACCACCAAGGTCGCCAGACCCCCCCCCCCAGACTCGGAAGAGAGAGAAATTAACAGTCATAAGCTCTATTTAATTAAAGCTTAGCTAAAACTAGTAAAATAATGACTCAATTTAAATATTAATCTTCGTACACTCATTATTTGGTCCTGCCAATATATATCCTATATACAAAAGATAAATCGCTCAAGATTTGAGAAAGTCTTTTAAGTAATAAGGCAGAGGGATTCAAAAATTTGTGGTCGAGCTTTGAAGTGGAAAACTGGGCGGGTTCGATTCGGTACAAGGACCAATTTGGCCAGGCTATTGGCGTTGAGTACCAGTCCTGATCAGGATAATGTCCAAGCATGGCTAATAAGCCTGCCAAGGATCATGACCACTAGCAAGGATACCACTTGGGCATGCATTATGGCTAGGAGCAGAGCCATCAGCACCATTATTTGCTTGACTTGCTTCTCGACTAGTCGCTTAATGCTTTCGATTTGTTGTTTGACATGGATCTTATTTGGTTAAAATCGAAAATCTCATTTGCACTATAGAAGTCGTGTCTTTACAAGTGAATGCTGTGTTAAAGTAACAACTACATATTATCTTATTCTGTTAAGAAAGAACATTCAAATCGTTTTCCCATTAACTTATTCTCTTATGTTGTAAAACATACGCTTAACATGTTCAATAAATTATTAATAGGTACTCACGATTGATTTATTTACTCATACCCCCAACCTCAGTAAGAGATAGCGCCCCCTCTGACTCACTGGCCGAGCTATTAGTGGGCATTCGGCAACGGAAACTTGGTCTCGAAGTTATCAGGTGAAACTGTTGCCATCGCCCCATGATAGCGCTGGACTCCTGGGTGCACAAAGCTTTAGCAGAATATTTGTTTTCGCCAGCTGAATTTTCAGTCCGATAACTTTGCTGACAGCGTAATTCAAACAAACAAAGTGATTACCTCATTACGGCCATGTTCCAGAATAGTGGAGCTCTCCAGCTCAAAAGGCAGATATCGTGCAAAAAAGATATCATGCCGAAATTATGCCTAAACCCCCAAGGAGCATTCTCCCTAAATACCAGCGTCTAAGCCTTTAATATAAGTAATTAATATCCGATTTGCTGATATCTTTAGCTTGATATCGTGGGGAGTATAAAAGGTAAAGGAAAAGTCGTTTTCCTAGCGCCACTTAGTTCATTTGCCATGACCGACCAACACTTGATAGTTGCCAAAATCGTGGCCATTGTGGTTCTGCTGCTGGTCACCCTGGTGTTCTGCTTCATTCCCTATCTGCTGGATCGCTTCTACAAGTGGACATCCCGACCCCAGAGCGATGCTCGCGAGTTTAAGGTGGTCCTCTGCCTGCTTAACTTTGGCGGAGGCGTCCTCATAGCCACCACCTTCATCCATATGCTGCCCGAGGTGGTGGAAGTGGTGAGTGCACTTCAGGATTGCCGAATGCTAATACCCACTCCATTTGGGCTGCCAGAGGTCCTGCTATGCACCGGCTTTTATCTGATGTATTGCATCGAGGAAACTATGCACTTCATAGTCCGGCGAAGACAGCAACGCAAACGCCAGCTCATAGTGGGTGTGGAGGTGATGCAGAAGGGGCAGGTTGTCGAGCTGGAGGAACCGGAGAAGCCTAAGGATCAGCCCCAAGAACCCAACTGGCTTCGGGGCCTGGGAATCATCGTGGCTCTGTCCCTTCATGAACTATTTGGCGGCATGGCCATTGGCCTGGAGATGAGTGTCAGCACTGTGTGGTTTATGTGCGGCGCCATCGCAGTCCACAAACTTGTCCTGGCCTTTTGCATAGGCATGGAGATTATGATGGCTCATACGAGGTGGCTACTGGCGGTCGTCTATCTGCTTGTCTTCTCGGTGGTAACTCCCATAGGAGTGGGAATCGGGATCGCGGTTAGCGAGTCCTCTGCTGCAAACGAACCGAGCACGGTATCGGGAATCCTGCAGGGCCTGGCGTGCGGCACTCTGATCTATGTGGTCTTCTTCGAGATTGTGGCCAAGAACCATGCCGGCCTGCGGGTCCTCCTGTCTTCGGTGTTGGGATTCATTCTAATGTTCGGTCTCCAGATAGCAAGTAAGTGAACAATCTCATTTTGAACGTCTTGAAAGCTGTGATCTAACTAGTTGCATTCTCTCTTCCAGTTGGAGAAGCCAAGGGCAAGAGTCACTATGTCTGCCCCCAGACGAAGTTCAAAGAAGTGGCCCTTTCTTGACTTTGACTTGAAGTCAAGGCAATGCTTTCTTAGCAGACATTTTCTTCGATGAAGAAATTGATTGATTTAATTTGGCAAAGTAAGCTTCAAGTACCAATTTTAAAATACAATATTGTATAATTAAGATTCTGAAAAAAATACGAGCAACAAACAAAGACTATTTGAATTGAGGACCCTTCTCTAATTAGTTGCTAAGTATTTGATTATGTTTCTTAACGGGTGGTTAGTTGGGACTCTTATCCTTTCAGTGCGAAACACGCCCTGTTAAATAAATTTCACATTGTACCGGGGTTTTAAAGTTATCAGATGAAACTATCGCCGTCATCTAATGATAGCAATGAAATAAAAATAGACAAAGACTTTGGCTGTCATTGGCAACAAATTATTGCCTTAAGCCAGCTGAAATTTCAGTCCGAAAACTTTTACTGACAGCGTAATGCAGGAAAGTCAAGTGATGGACACAAAAGCAACCAGACTTTCCTGGAAACAAAGAAAGTTTATTAAGATATTTTGTCTATTTAGGGACCTTTTTACATATCCTAGATAGATCCTTAGACCTATTAAAATCCTATCAAAATCTGCTTGTTAGATTCAGGAGTAACTTTTCTCATAGCATGATATCCTCCACATTACACAACCCTCTTGGGACTTGAAATTATTTACCGAGAACCCCATCTTATGGCTATCGTGCCAGGTGAAAGCCACCTGTCCACGTGACCGAGAATGGAGATAACTACTACCATTGAGATAACGTAGGCTGCCCATTGTCTGGGCCGCTCTGCGCCGTGTATCCGCATATCAATCAGCGATCCGATTCCATTGATTTACGACTGGAAATATAAACCACTGGTGGTCGCCGGTCTCCGCCAAACTCAGTCGTTGCTAGCAGCTCGGAACGGGAGGATGGCCAGCGCAGTGGATATGTCAGGCCTGCTCGTGGCCAAAATAGTAGCCATGGTAGTGCTGGTGGTGATTACTGTGCTCTGCGGCAGCCTGCCGTACATCCTGGACCGCTGGTTAAAGTGGACCAAGAAGAGTCCCGAGGAAACCCGTGCCTCGGCGGTGGTGCGATGTCTGCTCTTCTTCGGTGGCGGCGTGCTCATATGCACCACCTTTCTGCACATGCTGCCGGAGGTGATCGAGGTGGTGGATGCCCTGCAGCAATGCGGAATGCTTGCGGTGACGCCGTTCGCCCTGCCCGAGCTGCTCCTCTGCACCGGCTTCTTCCTGATGTACGCCTTGGACGAGCTAATGACTGCGTTTGTGCGACGTCACCAGCAAAAGCTCAGCCGGAAGGAGTCACTGGCTAGTGGGGCCTTTGAAAGGGGACACAGCATACGGCATAGTGTCCTGCTAAAGGGGAAGGATACGATGAGAGAGGAGGTTATAGTTGCGGAATCTCAAGCAGTGAGCGATAAACACGAGCACGGCCACGGGCACTCACATTTGCCAGTGCCAACCGGGGAAGGATCCTCGGCCCGGGGACTGGGCATTATCCTGGCACTGTCCCTGCACGAGCTTTTCGAAGGAATGGCCATCGGTCTGGAGAACAGTGTGAGCACGGTTTGGTTTATGTTCGGCGCAGTGGCCGCCCACAAGCTGGTCTTGGCCTTCTGTGTTGGCATGGAGCTGCTGGTGGCCCGAACCCGCGGCTCTCTGGCCATTGTCTATTTGGTAACCTTCTCGATTGTCACGCCCATTGGTATTGGGGTGGGCCTTGGCATAAGCGAGCAGGTGGTGGCGGGCCAACCCAGTCTGCCCTCGGGAGTGCTCCAGGGCATCGCTTGCGGAACCCTGCTGTACGTGGTATTCTTCGAGATTCTCACCGAGAATCACGCGGGATGGCGAGCCCTTATCTCAGCCCTGGCTGGTTTCAGTCTCATGTTCGGACTGCAAATTCTGTGTAAGTGATCACTGAGACATATGGTGGAATGATCCATTGACCTTGTCTTTTTCTTCTCTTATTCAGCTGATGAAGCGGAAGGTGATGACAGCCTCTCCTGTTCCTAAGCCATGCAACGCCACTTCAACAGGAACCCCCCCCCTGGTTCCTTTATTTTTGTTTTAATGAGTCTTTTTTTTTTAGTTAATTAATTATTGTATAATAAGACTGGATTAATTTTGTTTTATTAAGGTATTGAACTGCTCTCTTTGTGATGCTGTAGGAAAGAGATTCCGCCTCTCTTTAATAGATGAGAGATCTACATCGATGGCTGCAGCAGGGCTTGTAAGTGACCCTGTGCAGGTACTGAAACTGCTACTCCTTCTCCTCCTCGTATTCCGGAAGCACAGAACAGCAACAACCAGCGCCGGGATCCAGCCAACGACAACGTTGACTCAATGTCACTCACTCCAGTTTAGAGGCTGCAATTAAAACTGGCATCTCTGGACTTTATTATTATTGACGATCTTAATACCTTATGAAATTAAAATTTCTAGGAAATACATTTTGTTTTCCAACAAAGACGATCCCACCTGCACTAAATAATAAGCTTAGACATCATTTTAATGAGGATGCGCCATAATTAGACCTAGGCAGGCTCTCCAAGCAAGTGAAAGCCGACGTAGATATCTTAAGTGTAATTTAAAGGTACTTTTCTTTCAAGTTAAGTGCAGGTTGTTTGCATTTATTGAATTTAAGTCCCATGTTCATGTACTTAGTAAACCTTCTCAGATAACTTAAGCCAGTAGTAACGAAGGAGAACCTCTTAAATTTTAAATACATTCGTATTTCGAGTTTTATAAACTTCAATCTCTTTCTGGCCGCTTCCTCAATCAAAAGCTTAAATCCGTGAGTCACAAACAGAGCATGTTTTATTCTCAGTGAGAATTATTCTGAACTTAAAGCTCCCCTTGAGATAGCAGTATCAGTAGATCTGGTCAGCCTCACCTGATGCTCTCAGTTTTGCCCGCAAAGCCTTTGGCAATGCCTGTGCTACCCGGATTTCAATGGATGCTGGTGCTGCTGTGTTCAATCGGCGTGTTGGCCGAATACTGCGACAATGGAACGGGCGAGTGCAAGGAGCTAACTGGGACGGACTGTCCTGTGATATTCTACAACCAGCATTTGATTGGAGACAACGTGAAATTCTGTGATGAATTCAACGACATTGTCTGCTGTCCCTTGCCGTTGGATCACCAGAACCTGAAGCCCGTGGAGGAGGCGAGGCCGTTTGAGAAGCGTACAGAGCTTTGTATTTGTATATTTTTGTAGTTCTCATATTTTTTTTTATACATTTTCAGAATGCAAGCAGTATAATGAGGCGAGAGAAGCCTGTCGCTCCACGCCATTCATTGTGGGCGGCACAAAGGCCTCTGGGCGGGAGTTCCCCTTTATGGCGCTAATTGGAACCAAGCGAGTAAACAAGTCCAATGTGAGTTGGGACTGTGGTGGCTCTCTAGTGCATCCCAAATTTGTTTTGACTGCGGCTCATTGCCTGGAGACGGACGAGTAAGTAGCCCTGAAATGTTTATGGAATCTTAAATAACTCCAGAGTGCAGAGAAAAGGCCCAGCGGTTGGATCCCAACTTCGACTCACCAAAGTTTGTAGTTCGCCTGGGTGAGTTGGACTACGACGTAACCACCGATGATGCAAAGGTGCAGGACTTTCGGGTAGTGAACTATGTGGTGCATCCGGGTTATGATGACGATAGCGAAGAGCGCGGCTCCAAAAATGACATTGCAGTGGTCGAACTCGATCGGGAGGCTGTGTTCACGGATTATGTGGCGGCGGTTTGCCTGCCGCCAAGCAGCGGAAATGAAAACCAGCAGGTGACAGCCGCTGGCTGGGGATTCACCGAGGACGGTGTGAAGTCCACTCACCTGTTGAAGGTCACTCTGCAGCGATTCAGCGACGATGAGTGTCAGAAACGACTGCGTTTCGGCATCGAGACTCGCACCCAGTTCTGCGCCGGATCAATGACTAGCGAAAAGGATACTTGTAATGGCGACTCCGGAGGACCCATCTTCGTTCAACATCCGCTTTATCCTTGCCTCAAACAATTGTTGGGCATTGTGTCATACGGCTTGGTGTGCGGAAGTCAAGGAGTGCCCAGTGTCTACACCAAGGTCCATCTGTTTACTGACTGGATTGAGAGCATTGTTTGGGGAAATTAACAATCTGGTTGGTCTACAAAAAACGTATATATAAGATGTAGTTTTAGGATATTGATAAAATTAAAGTAAACCTAAAGGAAAGACTTTGTATAATATAAGAAAAGATTTCTGGGAGCTGGCAACTCTAGACATGCTTAAGCCGCGCTTTAAGCCCTGTTCAGATCCGAGGAATACATTTCCTAAGAAAGCTTATCGAGCTACAGGAATAAAAAAAAAAGAAATTAATATTTAAACGATTTTTAAGACACAACCTTTCATTTTACAGCCGCCTATAATTTTAATCCATATATTTTTTAAAGTAAAGAAAAAGCATCAAGACACCGCGCCACATCGCGTCTCAAAAGCTCTCTGTGTTGGACTTGTTTTAGCCAGAAAATGGCTCAAGTGGCAACACTGCCTTCCAGTTGGAACCTCAAGCTCGGCTCGCCTCACCTGCAAGCCCGCTCCGATCTTTAGTTTCGATCGGGAAGTGCGGACGCGAGGTCTTGGGTCTTCTTGAATATCGCTTATTAGATTTCCTGCCGTGTGCCCTGCGGTGTCGTCAGAGTCCAAACATCGGATCTGCCGTGGAGCGTGGATCCCCCGGATCGTTGCCGTCGCCGTTGTGCAAGTGCTTTGCCAGTCACGTACCGCCGTTGCAATCAATCCAATATATATACCCATATAACTAGCCATAGAAGAGCCACCAAAAAAAAATATAAAAAATATATAAATATTGTTACAAACAGTGTGCACCTTTGCCTGATTGATTAACACATCACCTCCCCCACCCACACACAGGGAACAAGTATCGGAATTGGAATTCGAATTGGAAGTGGAACCGCTGCCATTATTGCAATTGCAACTGCGCGGTGTGTGGATCATCATTGCCGGAGAACGTTAAAAGTGCCGCGACTGCATTGTTTTGACTTTGATCGTGTGTGTCGTGGGTCGGTTTTCGGTCTTCGGTCTTCGGTCTTCACCCCGCCGCCCGATCTTCTTCGCCTGATCCCTCCCACTCCAAACCAGCGGAGCGCGTGCGTGTTGTAACTTTTGATTAGCTCTGTGGCTGGAGTTGGATTTGCTCTGGGATTCCGATTCGGATCTTCCAGTGCGCTTGCGTTTGTCGTAACTTATCGCCGCCCACATCTCTGGCAGTTGCTCTTGCATTCGCCGACTTCGACGCCGCCGTTGCGGCTCGTTCTTCTTCCTCAGGTGAGTTTTCGTGGAATGTCGGTGCTCCTTGCACTGAAACAGAAGTCTTTCAGATAATGGGAAATTTTTAAGGAAATTACTGTGTTCAGGTACAGGATTTAAGGGAATGTTCTTACTTTCACAAAATGGAATGTATCTTTCTGGCACTGAAAAAGTCTATCAAATAGGGGGAAATTTGTCAAGTATTTTTAAGGATATAGGATTTAAGGGAATATTCTTAGTTTTCCTTAATGGAATGTATCATTCTTACACTGAGAAAGTTTAATTTTTTCATAATTATTTCGGTTTCAAATTTAGAAAACCTACTTCCTTCCCAGGGTTTTTGTTTTATGTATCTTCCCACGACTTAAAAAAAGTTTTTTAAAACAAGAAAAACAGTTTCTATGCCCTAACAGTTTGCAATTGATTTAGGGATCGATTATGAATAATGATTAATGATAACTAAACCGAAAACGAATTTATTTTCAATTCAAAAATGTTTTCTGTGTTGGTTAATAATAGATTGAAATGAAGTTTACCATTTAAAAATTAAGATTTGGTTTTAATTTTTGGCAAATTTAAGATTTTGAAAAAACTAGTAGATTCGTTTCTGCCAGGTCCTGGCTAGATCGACTCGGCTGTGGATAATGATCGAGCAAATATATGATTTTTAATTGCTTAAAGTTACACTAAAAACTATTGAAAAGTCTTCTTATTTTTCCCTGTGCATCAATTCTCCTTGAGGGTGTGTCCAGGAGTACATATGAGTGTGTATGTTGTGCAGGAAGATGGTTAAAAAAAAAGAAGCAACAGGAATACCCGTCGAATTGGCTATGCAAACGGGTACTTATTTTGAAATTCCCTGCACATGCCAAGGCGGATGATGGAAAAAAGTGAAATTCAGCAAGAAACCTTTGTAATTAAACACACATACACATACACTCATCCACACACGCAGTGCCAGGCATAATTTATTGCATATTAGCGTTTGGCGTTGCCATTGGCAGCTGACAGCTGCTTTTGGGGATTGTTTCTCCGGAGATCGATGTGGGCTGCTGCTGCTGCGACTGCTGCTGCCAAATTCTATTCTTTTCTATAGTTCTGTGGCAGATGAGATCATTCCTAAAAAGCCCAGACCCGCCGAATCGACCAAGAATGGTCGAAAATACATGGCAAAAAAAAAAAATAAACTTTGTAAGTCCATTAATCACGGTCGAATAAAGAGAAATGTCTCGAGATTGAGGCTCTCTGAGTCACCTGTTTTTTCAAAGACTTCTTAGCTTTCATTAGTCAACCTTATCCAGCGGCAGAATCTAATTAAATCCCCTTTGTTTTCATCACCTCGATAACTGTTAGCTGTTTGTCTCTCTGCTATTTAAGCCGCTTGGCCAAGAGCCTGGCTAATGATTTACCTCTTGGGGCGATCAGAGACAAGGATCTAGGATTGGGTACAGAGAGAAATATTAATGGAGGCCATAAATACATTTTATTTAATTGATTTTCTTCCTATATATGTTAAAAAAAAAGGAAAAGGGTTTCGACTAAGCTCAGACTTGTTAAATATATAAGTGATTTTGCCAAAGTCTAATTAAAAATATTTAACACTTAAAACTATATTATTTTACTTATTAAAAGCTTTTACCAATCCAAAGCATCCTTTTGTTATTATCAATATAAAACTCTTTAAAAAACCATTACATTTCTTGCTGTGCATAATCGATTTGACCGAACCCCCATGTCAAGCCAAGATTAGACTGCTAGCGTAATGGAGACCGGGCCAGAAGTGACCTTGAGGGTAATAACAAAACACCCGCGACTCGCGGCTCTTGGTCTTGGTCTTAGTCATGCCCGGAATGCAGCCAAGCAGCATTGCCAGCTGCAAAGGCCAAAACCGGATGGCATACACCACCACATCCAAGTCTAACATCTAACACACACACATGTGTGTGTTTGGTGGCTACCCACACCGAGCAGATTCTTACCCATATCATTTTTAGGGGCATTATAAAAGTATTTACTGCCACTCATATAAAGCTCCATTATTAACATACTTACACGCGGCAAATTCCAGCGCCCAATAAACCACAAAAAAAATGCCAATAAGCCCCGAAAAAAATAACAGCTTAAAACAAAAAAAGCCAAACAAAACTAAAGAAAACTAAAAACAAAAAGTGAGAATGCGCGAGGGCAAACGAAACGAGAATCAGAATCTGATCCGATGTCGTCTCGGGCAGGTTTGTCTAATGGTCGTCAAAGGAGAGGGCGGGGGACTTGGCACTTGGCTAAACAAACTGGTTGGAAATATATAGAAATATATATATATATATATGTAGTTATGTATTGTATAGCACAGGTGGGGGAACCTTGAAGCGCATCTTGACTCTTCAGAAGTAATTTGAACCGTCAAAGTCGAACCGAAAACCAATTTGTAATCCGTGCACTTGTTCAACTCACAAACCTGAATAATATTTCGGCTATACTGTCAGTTTTTATAATGAATATTTCGCATTCATTTGCCAAATTATTTATAATGGCAGTTAGTTGAATGTTTTTTTTATTATTTTGTTTACGCTGACCACATACTACCAGACACTCCCGTACTCCAAGATGCTGCGCGTTCGTTGCCTAAGTCTTTCGTTTTGAGACCAAGTAAATTAACATTAGAGCCGCGTGCGTTTTCAATGCCGCATGTTTTGTAGGCAGCCCGTGTAAATGGCCATAATCGCACATCGGATTACGCAAAAGACCGTAACAAAATCAAACAAACAAGACGATGGACATACAGCAATCAATTGCTTTGGCTTGGAATGCGTAAAACGTCTGCGAACTGACCTTAGATTTTTATGTTAATTGCTCACCAAAATATATATAAAAAAACACACACCAAGTGACACAGAATCAGACAGACTGTTAAAATTATTCAGCTTAATTTTGCGCGAAAGTTGTACTCAAAAAGCCTTTTTGGATGAATTTTGTAAATATTATTTACTAAAGTTTATGTAAAGCTCCTCGCGAACAGGTTTCTGCAACTCATTAATAAATTAACAGGTGGATGCGACTGCGATTGTCATTGCTATCGACAAGATGAGTTGGCACAACAAGAGAATTCACATCTCTCGAATGATTTAATGTTTATAAATACGATTTGCGCCTCAATAAAATACATTTTTATGGCCAAAGTAACGTTGTAAACGTGATTGTGGCTACTGCGAAGAGCGCTATACACTGAATTTATATTTGCAAATTATTCGCAACAACAAGTTATCAGTTTAATAATTTTCCAAAAATATATAAAAAAAGCAGACATTTGTTGAATATTCATAAGATATTTTAAACATTTAATATCAAGTTCAACACGATATTACTTTTTTATGTTAAAACCATTTTACGATCTGTTTTTTAGGGTAACAAAAACTACAAATCGAGCTCCTCTTAACCTGTCTGCCTTCTAATGCCAAAAGCCCACTCAGCCAAAACGGCCATCATTTTTAATCTCGACAACAGCTTGAAATACGATCTTAAAGCAAAGCTTACAAGTACTTACTCTGGGTGGCTCTCGCCAGTTTAGAGATCAAGTTTAACAAGCATAAAGCTACGGCAAATAAATGCTTTGTTGTTGTTGTTGTTTGACTGGCTTAACCCTTGGATTCACCCTGACCCCGGCATGGGCCCGAAACCCGTGTAGCTCGTTCTTGTGAAAGTTGGGCAGTTCCAAATTAATTTAATTTCAGAAATACTTATGCCGAAAGCAAAGCCAAAACTGGCTGCACCAGTTCAACGGGCTTACACGCTGCCATTATGCTAATCAAAATCGGAAATCTACAGATCGGAAGTGCGGGGGCTAGAGAGCTATATATGTATATGGAATAATTTGTCAACTCCGGTGATGGTTCAATTTTCATAATTGATAGAAAACCATCGAAAGTGACGGTCTGTTTACTTTTCCTCAGTTGCATTCCGAATCGAAATCGAAGGTGAAATAGAAAATGAACACAAATCAATGAAAAACACTTGGGGGACAACTTTCACTGCGAACCGAAGATGTCATCGCTAGTGGACTACACCAATGGAATTGATTAACAATCATTAGCACTAGCCACGGGCGGGAGCTGACTTTTAAAAGTCACTATTTGAAGTCTCCTTTTGTCAGAGGAATCAGAGGAATCAATCCTAAACATAAAGAAGATTAATTAGGGAGCTTAAATGATAGGAAAATATAACGAAAAATCAAGAAATTTAGTCTGAAAATCGGTTTTTTGGAAATACATTTCATAATGCAATAAACAATAAAAATTTCAATCAATTTGTGATGAAAAAGAGAGGTTTTTTAAATGGGAAGTGATTACAACAGACCCTGCTATTCCTGCTAGTAGTTCCCTTATAAAAATCGTTTTAATAACCAGCAATTGACCATTTTCTTTTTCCTCTGTACATTTTGGAGGTAATTATAATGAGCCAACTTGGCATACACGTTTGTCAATCACATATTATCGACGACGATGGCAACTGCCCGGCTCCAAGTTCGGTGGCGGATTCATGGTGCGTGACATTAGAGTTGAGAAATTTTGCGCAAATAGAAATCCAAACGGCAGCATAACCATCATGACGAGCTGATTTTCGCACCACACAACTCGCATTCAGATCTGTGTTTGGCACGGAAACGAGTGGCCAATGGTATGGACCGTTAACAGCCTCTGGCCAAAATCCACACATCACCCATACGCCGGGTGGTGCGACGAAAGAGTCCATCAAAAAGGCCCGATTAGAAAGTTAGTGTGCCGTGCTAGCTGCTAATCAATTTCAGTATAATTTACTTTTTTTGTTATTGAACTATAAAATGGTATAGGAATATGCTTGTAAACTTAAGGGAATGATAATTAAGCCCTCATTTGTAGGAGTCCTGCTGAGCCCTCATTGAAATAGAAAACAAATTGCTTTTGTAATTGAATTTTTTGTGAAAACCTTAGTTCATGGAAGCTAAAAACGTATGAAATGTTTAGCTAACTGAATTTTTATTGGCTTTTTAAAGCAGATTGGTATCCGATTAGGCTTAACATCTTTACTCATTATAAAAAAGGCTTAAAATTGAGCTATTATTGATCTTTATATAACTTCAGAGTCAAGTAATAGTATTGTGAATAAAGCATTTAAGTTGTTTATTGAATTTTTCTACCATATTTCCCCCATAAGTAGCCTGGCTTTATCTTAATCTCTATAATTTTCTTGTACCTACTAAAAGATTAAAAAATTTCCCATTACATAGCAGGAAGAAATTGCCATTTATTTATTTATTAAGGATTTATTTTCAATCTCTCTCTCCTGCTGCAATTTGCCCTCCCTTTTAGCCACTAAATGGTTACACAATCGCCAATGGCCAACTCGCATCCATTTAAAATCAATTTCAGCTCTTTTACTTAACAATTTTGTACTTATCTCGCCATGCTTTTTTGGTGGCTGCCATGTTATTCTCTAATTTGGCTGGACCGAAACAAGTATTTCTTATTTTCTTTTGGTCAATAGTATGCCAGTGCCTGTTCCTATGAATTTGGCTCTAATTTCGGGGCTTTTTGGGAGCGGCCAGAGGCGATACACTTGCTCTGCCTGTGGGCCAAAGTCTGCAGCTTTATCGATCTATCGCCGATCCATTAATAGTTGACTATATATTTTTGTTTTGGGTCCACTAACCGGTTATCCGGTGCCCAGAGTATCTCCACTCACACAAAGAAGTCGCCGTAGCCGTAGCAGTCGCGTATTTTGAAAATCGTCGTATCTGAGGCCCAACATGAATGAGCTTTTCGAAATATTTCGTAACCAGTTGGACTGCATTTTTTCCCTCCACTCTCAAGTCGACTCTACTTGACTTCCATCCAGTCCAGTCCCGCAGCGTGAATCGAACATGAGTAGCGTGGCCAAATGTTTATGTCCGCAGGTAGTATAATCGATATGTCGTAGGAACCGAGTCAAGTGTTCTTTTCAGCCAACTCGAATCGAGTTGAGGACTTTAATTTAATTGCGTGTGAATCAATCGCATCTGAAACGGTTTCGCTTTGGCCTTTGGCTCTGTCAGCTCGTTAATTACAACTCGGTTCTAATTAGTGGAAATGCAAAGCACTCGAGAGTCAATTCAATTAAAGTAATTGCTCACCTGAGCACCGCAGCTCTCCTGCCTGTCTCCTAAGCTGGCTCTAAAGCTGACTCTAAAGCTGTCTCTAAACTATTTTCCCTTAGTCAGTTGGGTAATGAACCGCACATTTGCTTTGGCCAACTCATGATGGCCAACTGTAAGACTGTAGTAGACTTAAGAGAGACAGTGGGCCCATTTGAAGAATGGCTCAGAGCCCGCAGTTTCCCAGTTGCGTCTCCAGCTGGGCACCATTAGTTTCTCTGCTCTGTTTTTCGCCCCCCAAATGTGGGCTTTTTGATTGCACATAAAATTGGATCACTTTTAAGTTGATATTAAGACTTTGTACAAGTGTAGTTGAAGCTATTTTAGAGATGAAAATCTAAAGTATCTTCTGGATACTTTAGAAAACGAATGGCTACATGTACAAATTTGTTTTTAAAGCTCTTAGATATGCCTCAGAAATTTTCCTTTTTTTTATACTTTAATCAATAAACTATAACATGCAACTAATAAACCTAGCTTTCTTTTAGTAGACTACTTTAAATATTCAATTAAATGATAGGCAAGCTCCAAATTTATATTTAAATTTAAATAAAAGCTGGTTTTAACTACTTTGTAAAAAGTAACCAATTTTCATCTTATAGGTGGGTTCTAACCCATTTCGCGGAGACTGCTCCAGTTACTTGTTTTATGCCACTTCATTTGTGTGTGCTTTTGCCTCGTCTTAATTAACATGTTTTACATGCTTTTCGATTTTGTTTTGCTTCGGTTTTAGCTTTAGCTTTGGCTTTGGCGATGGCGACTTCAATGTCAAGCCATGTGGTCGTCACAGTCGATGTTGCTGATGTTGTTACCATTGTTGCTACTGCTGCTGCTCTGCTCCCAATGCCAGACAGTTGCTGGTCAGCGACGGCGACGGCGACGGAGTAATCAAAACCAAACGAGGCGGTCACCCAAAGCAGCTGCTGCCTCGGAAGTCGACGCTACCGTTATGGCTTATAAAAATGTTTATATATATCTTATATATATATATATCTAGTTATTTCTGGGGGTCTGGCATTGGACAATGACTCGGTGATTACCGCGACTCGACCAAGAGATCTCGACCGTAGTGAGATGTCACTGGTAGAAGTGGAGCATTGGAGTGGCCGTTCCCATTCTCCAGATTTTCGCCAATCAACCAACTAACACCAATTGTCGTTGATTTATCTTTGGGGGGCAAGAAAACAGAGATTTCATGCAGCATGCAATTTGCTTGTCAAAACTGTGGCACCATTTTCCATAACCAAACAATTCGGTCGGTTCAGGCCACATTTTTACGCCCATTTCAACGCCATTTGTTTGTCGTTTAGACTTAATCTCCAAGAGCAGGTAGCTTGGGTTTCCTCTGATTTATGTTGTTTTATTAGACAAGCTTGGACTTTGGTCTAAGTACCATAATACAGAGAAAGAAAAAACTATTTGAATAACAAAATATAAATAAGTATTTACAGCTGGCGACCGTGAAAGGTCTTAAAGGTTTTCGGTAATTAACTTTCTTAGAATCTGTTTCTTATTTATTTTTAGATAAAGTATAAAAATAGAAATAAGATATTAATATACTCTGTTCACTACATTTAGAAATACATAATTTTTAGTTCTGTGTATCTAAGTATCTCAAAAATTAAAGTTTTTGCTTTTTGGCAGTAGAGGGGGCAGCTGTCATTGGCTTTGATTAGTTTGTTGAACGCGCCAAGACCTTCGATTTCACTCTGCAAAGGCGTTGTATAGATACTCGTGGATGTACCTACCATATAGTAATTCCGATCGAGCATTGAACCGCGCTTCACACGCAGCTCAGCTCGGAGGAAGGATTGTCATTGATGTTTGGTATCTGCCTGTCAAACTGATGAAAATCCGCAAGAAAAAATAACTTAAAAAAAAAGAGAAACGAATCTTTCGACACTTTCTGAAAAAATTTTTCAGCTGCAAAAGAAACTCTACTAATGGTGTAGTGGGAAATTTCCTTGTCATTGTTTGGCCAATGCAATAAATCATTTTCACAGATCCATCTGCCAGATGCTCCCCCAAAAAAAAAAAAAAGATTATGCAATTCTCGCCTAATAAATGTTTCTATAAATTACCTTCTTTCAGCAATGTGCGGCCAATTTGTTGTAACGAAATTAATTATATAATTTCCAAAAAAAAAAAACACCACCGAAATCCCCGTTAAAATCAATTGAACAAAAGGCCGGAGAAAGAGAGGAGGAGGCCTTTGAATAGACACGACACGCGGTGCTAATGCGAAAAGAAACTCCCCGACAATCGCCAAAAAAATTGTAAAGAAATAAATTATAAACATACAAAATGTCTATAAATAATACAAGACATTCGCCATTCCGATTTGGATTCGGCTTCGGATTCGCTTCGAGCTCCCTGCTGCTGCTGCTGATCGCCGTCTGGTGCTGCTACCTCGGAGACTTTGGAACGGAGGCCCACGTGGCCCTCACCTATCCACCTGCCCGCAAATACGATCTGGACTTTCTGGACAATTCGCGAACGAAGGCGCCATGTGGCATGCCCAAAGGTGAGTGCTTCTTGTATTTCTTTTTTGTTTTTTGTTTTGGCTCTGCCTCTGGGAACCTGGTTAGTTAGAGATTGACCTCGATTTTTGGGGTAAATATAGGCACAGGCAGAAATTTAAAGGGCTTAAAAATTTATTTTAAATGTAAACTAAAGCAAAATATTCCTTAAAATGTCTGATTAGCTTATAAAACTTTGGGGATTAAACAGAAGAATTTGTAAAATTAGTTACATTTTACTCAATTTATTCGCCCAAATTAATAACTTAATAATTTCTTAAAAAATATTTGCTGAAATTCCTGTCTTACTAATGCAAAAATCATGTTTTAAAGTTTAGCACATGTTTAAAAATAACCCTCAAAGTGGTAATTGAATTAAATTTGTTGTTATTTGATTTTCTATGGGGACATTGGAATTTTTTCTTTATTCATTCAGTGTTTCTATATTTAACACTTTATTATATATTTTTATTGAAATTTTTTGTTGTGCTTAAAAACATTTCCCTATCACTGACACAGTTTTTTTCACCCATTCGTGGGAACAGGAGCAAATAGTTGGAAATACATTTCCCAATTGCCAATTGTTGGCCAACTCGAGTTGGTTTATTCAGCTCGTCTGCCATGGCACGCTTCGATTATAATATTATGGCTTATTATAATGGTTTAGCTAGTTATGTGCGCTTTGTTTGCCCGCCTGTAATTGGTGAAGCACGTTCAATTCACACATGCACTGGCCAAGGTACAGTGCGTTTCGAAAGCCGAGATGGTAGATAAATATTAAATAATTTATTACTAGTTGGGTTACTTGAAATTTGAGAAACAAATTATAAATTTAATGAATTTCAGGGTTAATTAAAGACACAGAATTCATGGGGTAAAACATTGTTGTCTATGAGTTTTTAGAGTTATTAAAATTATTTAAAGTTTCCTTATTTCAAAATACATTTAAGAACTAAGAGTAAACCTTGTTTGACAAGTTTTATCTCTAAATATTATTAATTAAACTTGTTCAAATTCCACTGTATCTGTAAATAGTAACCAGAAACCTTGAAACCATGAAAATCCGATCGATTTATGTCATTCACAAGTGTCTGCTAATGGCTTTACACCAATGAAACGCACATGCATGTATTCATAATTTAGAGACGTGCACTGTGCAGCTGAAAAACTTTTGCTTTTGCACTCGACTTGCATAATACTATGCATATGCATATGCTTATGCTTATGCCTCGTTGTTATTGTTATTATTATGTGTGGCACATCTTGCTCAATGTTTGTTGTTGCTGCTGCTGAAAAGTGTTACCAATTAATTTGCATATCGCGAGCGGGCCGCCATTCACATGCTCGCCGGCAGGTGTGCGTGTGTACATACATTTAAAAAGGCAACAACAAAATGAATGCGAGTGGATCCCAATCGAAAAGAGAAAAAAAAAAATAATACAAAATTGGGTCACCGAAACTATGAGTATAATGATTATGATATTCATTTTGGTGGCTCTTTTGGGGTAAAATGCACTTTCGAAAATAAATTAAAATCACACCTTTCCGGGGGCTCTCGAAAGCATTTTGACATTTGATTTTCTAAAGGAAAGGGGGGTTACAAGGGTCGATACTGTTTGCATATCAATTATAGCCGACGATTGCCTTGAGATGGCTGGTAATTGGCAACTGGCAACTGGTTACCTGATCACACACGTGTGCCGCATCAAAATGCCAAATCAATTTTCATATATATATACCATATGCCTCCAAAGTATCCAATAATGTGTGTGTATACAACCCGTTGAGCGACATTTTTGTGCGCCGCACTTTAGCCCATATTTTTATTGATTTTCATTTTCAATTTCAATTTCGTTTGCAGTTTCATTTCGCATTGTTTTGCCTTTGCCTTGTTAATTATATATACGCGAACACATTGCGTATACGCAACGTGGAGAGCAGGCTGGCCGGTGGCACGTTTAACCCATTTCGAGGCACGACAACTTTTGCTGCAGCCTGCCAAACGCGTCTTGAGTTGACTAAGCAAGTTGCCACTGCAACTGAGGCGATGCACTCTGAAAAATTAGAGGTTCTTTTAGTGAAAAATAACCACAACTAACATTATTTCTGTAATTTAGAATTAAAATTAGCTCAACTTTGGCTTCAAAATAGAAATATAAAATATACTCTGATATCTTTATATTCGCTGAGTGTATTCCTGCTGCAGCGGCTCACTGGTCGCCTTGATGATGATGTATGCACCGACGAGAGGCCGAGTGGAATGCAACATGCTGCAAGTGAAAAAACTTTCACTTGTGCATTACGGCACACAGAAGTCGCCCGGGGGGCAGAGCGTGTTGATTGGCGGGCGGCGATCGGGCGGTTGAAGAAAAATATTCCCGGCCATCATCCAAGATTACGGCACAATGAAAATGTTAACCACTTTATCCAGAAACATGAGGAGAATTTATTTTAAAGAGATTTTAATAGTTAAAAAGACATAAAAAATACTTTTCCTAAGCCTAACAATGCTACTAAGTAATAAGACTGATGACTAGCTCCTGTAAATATCTAAAGTTAAAACATTCAAAACGAAATATTGAAAGCCCTACGCCTCTGACTGTATCTACTAGTAGTTGAGATGCATCTCTATCTGCATCTGACAGTGACAGCTAAATGTGTTTGTGGCTGCTGCCCTTTCCATCATCTGCAAGTGGTTCACTGGGACAGAGATGGGGATGGGGATGGGGCTGAGTGACTGCTGACCTCTGCGCAGCATCTTGCAGCTTGTTTGCATTGTGTCTCCCAACCTCGAGGCCTCCTCTAATCCATCTCAATTTGTTCGTGTTTGACACTCTTTCCAACTCTAGACTCTTGTCGCTGTGTCTGTTGCACACGATTTGTTTTGATTTGGCTTTGTTTTCGTGTCGCTGTTTTGTTTTGTTTTTTCTGTTTATGGCCACAAAGACGCGACTTGTAATTGTCTGCCGAGCACACTGGAATGGAGGTCAAGATGTGGTCGCCTCTTGTGTCACCAGTCGAGCGTCAACCGTCAAGAGATGCCAGCGTAGCCAGCAGTTGGGCAATCCATTTGTGGGGTTGACAAAACATTGGTTTCGATAATTAGAAGAGCAATCAGAGCCCAATGTAAATGTCAATTAGTCAGCTAAGCCACCGACTTGGGCAACATTCAATATCAATAACCAAAGATTTATCATAGCGACAAAAGCGAATCAGAGTCATTTATCACCGGTGAAACACTGGGTTACCCAAAACTTATATTTCAGGCCAAGATCCCCATGGCAAAATCCTGCAGCGAAATATCGCTTTGTGTGAGCCATTCAGAATATCAATGAGAGAGCGCCGGGCCACAAATGACATTTAAGTCGCTCGCGGACCTCGCTACGTATACGTAATGCAGTCGGGGAATGCATAAATATCCAGCACAGAATAAGCACATGCCTCCATTGAAATGTATCTGCATCCCAGCCATAAATACCAGAGCCAGGCTACAAAAGCTACTGTGGAGCAAAGTGTGGAGCAGTGGATCGGATCGGATTGGATTGGCACGGATTGAGTTGGCTTAGCTTGGCCCGGCCTGGCCTGGCTGGAAATAACTTGGTTTGGGTTGGGTTTTGGTTCGTTTTGGTCGGAGGCCCCCTAGGCGGCGGCTGGCCAAGACAACGTCACGAGCAATTAACTAAAGCGAAACTCCTTGACCACAGCAGCAACAGGTTAGGGAATGCAAATGTTACACTGAGGGAAAATTAGTACAAAAAGGAATGATTAAATGATGAAATTAGCTAAAGAATTCTTTAATACAATACTTCAAGTTTTAGCTATAATTTTTCTCCCTGTGCACTGCCACCAAAGCTGCCAAAGCTTGGCAAGATGTTAACCACTTGGTCAGGTTAATTTGCGGCAGTGGCAGCCACAGCCACAACGTCGAACGGTGGCAACTTGCAACTTGTGGCGGCCTGTAGGGTTGCCAAAGCGAAATTAATTTTATGGCACGTTACTTATGCTGCTCCCCTCCCCCCCTTTCCACACCTTTTCCAACCGCCTTGCCGGCATGAAAAGCTGAAATTTATTGCCCTCCATGTTGCATGTGCAACGCTTCGCTAGTCCGCCGGCCGGGAAATGTATTTGTCAACTCCGGTAGGACAGACTGTACATTAAGATAAAAAAGGTAACTAAGTATTTATAATATTTATAATATATTTATATTACCTTCACAAAAAATAAGTTTTTAACCCAAAAGTGAGGCATTAAAATACAAAAATACCTCTTTTCTTTAAATAAAAACCACCTGTATTTTCTTCCCTGCTCTTAAAAGAAGGCACAATATTTATGGTCGTTAGCATAAGTAAAAGTAATTACCAGTTTAAACTTTAAAGTCATAATTTAAGTAATACTTTTTTCCAAGTGCATTGCAAAGTATTGCGGAAGTCTTTGTTTACGGCTACGTGAGAGGCGTCGTCGACCATATTTGGCTGCCGTTTTTTTTTCCTTTATATTCTGTTGTTTAGTTGGGTGGCTCGTGCAATTAGAATGCAGGCAAGCGAACATTCTTCTATCAACAAGCAAATTGCCTTGAGGAGGAGAACTGAGGATGATGTAATGCCATCCATTAAAAGAGTGCCTGCCCAGGGTCTTCCAGCCATGTCCAAAGTGATGAGTATTCCCACTTTAGTGCAGTTTTTAATAGCTGAGATAAAGACAAAGGATAGAACTAAGTAAGAGAGTTTTTCATTGCTTACTGATATATTTAAATAACATTAACATCTTAGAGAAAATTTAAATAATTCTCAAAGTCAAAGTATCTTTGGAATTTCATGGCTAAGGAATAGAAGACTGCTTCTTTGAAATTCCACCGCCTTTGGGTAACCTCGAGCCCTGAATTCAATCAACACTCTTTGGTGAATAGCTCCTCCCCGCCTCGATCGATGGAATTCAACTTACAATCAAATTAGTTAGGTTTCCAATCAATTATAAACCGATTTCACGCGCATCTTTGCCGCCAACCCCGATTTGAATCCGGCAGAGCACAGCAGACCGGAGCGGGTTGGGACGGGGATCGGATCGGAACGGACTTTCGAAATGGCCAGACGATGCCGGCGAGTTCAAGCTCAACCACCGGCGGCACCTCGGCTCAGATACAGGTACAAATTACAGCAGCCTCCAAAAACAAAACGCAAAGGTGAACAACTTTCGCGGGTTGTGAGCGCGCTCATGGGAAATATGACGGAGTTGAGCAGCGAAACACGAAAAAAAGCAGCGCATAAAATATTAACCAGACAATTCCGAACCGATCGGACACCACGAGAAACGTGAAAAATGTAAAGCCAAGTGAAATACTCGACCGAGAAAACACCTGCTAATTTGGTCCATGGATTCAGATGCGATTCAGATTCGGGTACACAGGTGCCGCCCCTTTTCGGGCCGCATCATTTGTATGGGTATTTCGATTTATTAATGGGAACACTTGATTTATCCACCGATAGTCGCTTAACCCATTTCTCGATCTGGTTTGGCGGCTTTTTTTTTTTTTGTTTCTCCCAGTCTCGAGTCAAAACAAAAGCCATGGGAAGCCAAAGCCGTAGCTATAGTTGTGTGAGGTCTCTGTGTTTGTCTCGTTTTTTATTTTGTTTTTGTGGGACTGTCAGGTGCAATGAAATGTTAAGAATGCCCTGATCCGCATTCGATTTGATTCAAACTGATTTACATTTCCCAGTGGCCCAGAAAGCCAGAGGCCCTGTTCATTTCCAGCTGAGCGGAGCCACCGATTCTGCGATGGTTGCGCAATAGAAATCAAGAGTTTTCCGCACAAAAGAACTGACCCACAAAGTGGACATTGCAGCTGCAGCGGCATTTAACCAAAGATTTTGTTTGTTAGATCTCTGACCATAGAATACCCTGTCAGCACTTGAGATTCCACTCAAAGAGCTGCTTCATCCACTGGGTGATATACCCACACTTGGTGTGGTGTATCCAAAACAACTTGGCGTCATGTCCATCGCTTAGATTGTCAGTTCATGACCATATTGGGATGACTAACTGGCAGCTGCACGACGACCATTGAGCGGCCATCGAGTGATTCAAGTGCCCAGTGGTCACTGGTTTTTGCACATACATATAGTAATACATAGTATGTTGTTCCCAGACTTTGGCTAACTGTGGTGCGATCTCGTGCCAGCAGCAGCAGCAGCAGTAATCATAATTTTCAGCTTCCTTATTTGCACAAGACAAGAGCGCGGGGACATCGGGAAAGTGACACTCCTCCTTTCGCTTTCGGAGATCGCTATAAACGTTTAATGGCCTCAATTAGCGACTCGTTCGGCCAGTATTGGCTGCCAACGATGTGCGAGCTGGTCATTGATAGCCACTGCCGTTCTTCACCAGCTCTAACGTCACAGTGAGAGAAACTAACTCAGTTTTAGCCACAAAACCGCAGAGTTTTCCTGGGGTTTTAGGGTTCAGTGGTTTGGAAACTGTTCACTAAAGGAAACTACGATTTTTTCAATGAATTATTTTTAATATGAAGGAAAGCAATGCACATCAAACATGTTAAACCTCTAAATTAGGATCTTTAAATAACATAGTCGTAGGTATTTTTGTAAATTTCTTAAAACAGAAGGGGAAGACATTCCTAAAATTCAAAATTCTCTAAAAATATCATCTATTTTATGATAAATATTACATCAAAAAATACTTCTTTTTGAATATTTTAAAATTGTTTTCCGTGCACCTGCATCTGCCACACTCTGTCCCTCCAACCATTAAGCCCATTCAGGTTGTAAGTTTTTCACAGCTGGTCAGCTTCGGCATTCAGCGAAGATTACCGCATTGATCTTATGCAACAGACGAGTATGAAATTTGCCTGGGCAGGTTCACAGAGATGTTGGGGCTGGGTCTCTGGCAGAGGAAGGCATATATATTAATGTACATTTGTGTGCTGGATGCCAGCTCCTCCGCTGTCATGTAAAATTCGCCAGTGGGATATACGAACATAACAGGTGCACTTGTTGCCTTGCAAAGCAGAACCAGTCCAACTCCAGGGGGAGTGGATTTAATTATGCGGCTAGGAGCTGGGCAAATAGATGGCCCTCGACGGCGACTGTCACCCGTAATCACCGGCTCACTGATCACGCTCTGATTTTCTCCACTCCATTCCTCCATTGCAGGCTCCATACGCACCACACTGCTCTCCGGCATGCCGTTCAACGTCACCTGGCATTTGGCCTATCCACACAAGGTAAGTGGATCGGATCAGATCTCTCGGCTGATGCAATGGGAGCAGAACACGCCCCTTTGTGTTTCCTATCGCCGCCGGAGGGGCTAATTAGTCGAGAATCCGAGGGTATATCCATGCCATACTCGAGATTCTCGAGCGATTGCCTCACATGCACGCAGTCAAAGTCAGGCCCTGAGATCCAAGATTCGAGATCGGAGATTCCCATGTTTGTGGGATGCACGACATCGTGTCAAAAGTTCTCAGTCATTGTTTCGGCTCAACCATAACCATAATCATAAACGTAACTTTTCCAGGGCGGCTTTCGGTTGCAACTATTGGATGCCCTTGATCGGCCTGTTTTGGACCTCACGCCCCATGTGAATAATTCCGAATTTGTGCGAACAGATGTCACGTAAGTTTGCCTGCTATTGCCCAATATCTGGTCAAGGCTAAATCTCACTTAAATCTTTAATATTCGTGTCCTTTCTTACTCTGTACTTAAACTAATCCTCTAAAACTCTATATTTTCATTCACAGAGCTCAGTCGTACCAGGTGAGCATCAGCAGAGACTTTGAGTGCTTCAACTGCACCTTGCGGCTGCTCCGGCAGGCGGACGAGTGGTCCAATAGCTATCGCTTCTGGTCCTGCGCGGATGTGGACATCAAGAAGCGCAAGGACTTTAAGGAGACCTGCTCCGGCAACGGCAAGTACTTCACCTCGCGCTGCAAGTGCGACAAGAACTTCTATGGCCCGCAGTGCCAGTACAAGGACGAGTGCACCGCAGACTCTGACTGCGGTGTCCAGGGCAAGTGTGTGGATCTCGGGGGAACCTCGCTGCCCCGGCGGCAGTGCTACTGCAACTTTGGATGGTTCGGAATTGGATGCAACAAGCGATCGCCCTACAAGACCACCGATCTCGATCTCTCCTCATACACTAAAAAGGAGCTCTCGCCGGACTATCATGTCTACTGGCGACTCCTCGAGGAGCAGAAGGAGATCGAGGTGGTGCTCAAGGTCAACGGAACCTCGTGGGTGGGCTTGGGCTGGAGGCCGCGCGGTCTGACGCCGGAGTGCAAGAACTTCCCGTTGGTCAGGGACATTGGAGACTTGACCACAACGGTGGAGCAGAGCTCGGCACCGGAACCTAAGAGCGAGCCGGAACCCAAGAGTGAACCGGAACCTAAGAGTGAACCGGAACCCAAGAGTGAACCGGAACCCAAGAGTGAACCGGAACCCAAGAGTGAACCGGAACCCAAGAGTGAACCGGAACCCAAGAGTGAACCGGAACCCAAGAGTGAACCGGAACCCAAGAGTGAACCGGAACCCAAGAGTGAACCGGAACCCAAGAGTGAACCGGAACCCAAGAGTGAACCGGAACCCAAGAGCGAACCGGAACCCAAGAGCGAACCGGAACCCAAGAGTGAACCGGAACCTAAGAGTGAGCCGGAGCCTAAGAGTGAACCAGAACCCAAGAGCGAGCCCGAGCCCAAGCGCTTAGCCGAGCTGAGGGCTGCACCAGAACCAAAGAGCGAACCGGAACCCAAGAGCGAACCGGAACCCAAGAGCGAACCGGAAGCTAAGAGCGAACCGGAACCCAAGAGCGAACCGGAACCTAAGAGTGAACCGGAACCCAAGAGCGAACCAGAACCCAAGAGCGAACCAGAACCCAAGAGCGAACCGGAACCTAAGAGCGAACCGGAACCCAAGAGCGAACCGGAAACCAAGAGTGAACCAGAACCCACGAGTGAACCGGAACCCACGAGCGAACCGGAGCCCACAAGTGAGCCCGAACCCAAGAGCGAGCCCGAACCCAAGAGCGAGCCCGAACCCAAAAGCGAGCCAGAGGCGCAGAGCACCAAGTCCAAGCGGGTAGCCGGAAACTTCGCCCAGGAGGGTGTTACTTCCGTCTCCCACAGCGTCTCCTACCGGGTCAGCACCAAGTCAGATCGTCAGCGTCGTGAAGCGGGCGCAGGTGAGGATCCCGATGCTTTCAGAAACTAACAGGACATAATAATTACTCCCCTTATTTATTCACAGAATCCCCGAAATACCGACTGAATGCGTACACACCGCGCCATGACTTCAACCCAATGGACTGCACGGACATCGTGATCGGAGCAGCTCGCGGCTTGGCCAGCCGCGTGGGAGATTACTACACCCGAGATCGTTCTACACCGCGCAGCGATGAGTTCTACGGCGGCAAATCCAACCTGGCCTTGGGCACTGGCTTCGAGGAGAACGGTGTGACCACGATCATCTTCCGGAAGAAACTGGTGGCCAATGAGCCCACCGATCACACTCTGGACGATGCCCTGACCCATGTTATCTGGGCCAAGGGCCAGGAGCCGGGCAGCTATGTGCACGTCCCAGCCTCCGGACTGGAGACAGAGTCCTCAACTGTCAAGGATTTCTATCAGCCGGATGAGCTGAAGTACCATGGACACCAGATGCAGCGCGGAGTTACCCAGATTAACTTCTTTGGTGAGTTAAAAATCTGATTAAATTCAGTTTTCCTGTATCCTAAACTCTTGTTTCATTTTCAACAGAGAAAGATAAGGCATCCACGAGCACCGATCGTAATGATCTGAGCACCAATGTCCTGGATAACGATTGCTATGGCCACTGGAAGTATCCATCGAACTGCTCTCCCCAGGAGCACACCTGCGAGTACTATGCCAGCTGGGAGACGGTTGGCAAGGGCGATGAGATGCGTTGGCATATTGAGACTTCAAACACGGAGACATGGACTGGCATTGGCTTCAGCGATGACCAGAGAATGTCTCAGACGGACTCCATCATCGGTTGGGTGGACAAACGCAACGGCAGACCCTTCCTCATGGACACCTGGGTGCTGGGCTATGCTCCACCGAAGCTGGACGACCGCCAGGATATATACAACGCTTCTGGACGCATCGAAAAGGGCGTGACCATTCTGGAGTTTAATCGCAAAAGGGTTAGCAATGATGAGCAGGACTTGTCCTTCACGGACGATCACTGCCTGTACCTGTTCTTCCCGGTTTTGGGAGGTGCCTTCAATGTGGTGAACAAGAAGATACGCAAGCATGAGCAGGTGCCCAGCGTCTCCTCGCAACGTGTCTGCATCAAGTCGTGTGGCAAAGGTGAGGTGATCTAAATGCTATTAAAGCTGAAAATATAATTTTTTTTTTCTTTCCTTAGAACTGGAGGCCGTGTTCGTGGGCACAAGCACCCCAGCTCCCAGCCGTCTTGTCTACGCAGTGGGCGTTAAGCTCATGAACTTGGGTGAATCCTATGAGGCTCCCAAGCCTGGAACTGTGGAGTTTAACAATCTGGCAGCCACCATTTCGGACTCTTTCAATGGCTTCTTAGGTTCTCTGGCTGGTTATTACAAGACCGAGATTTTGGGCTTCGAAAAGTAAGTATTGAGAAGGAAATGTTATAAGACCTTTCAATAATACTTGTCTATTTTTTACCCAAATCCAGAGAGGGCAGCACCCTGGTGGCCAAGGTTCAGGCCATGTTCGATAAGGGTGATGTGGAGAAGAACCACAGCTTGGATACCAATGCGGTGGAGAAAACCGGTGAGGTAGCAGCCCAAAAGAACGCCGATGCGATTAGGTCAGCCCTGAAGGATCAGATTGCCACCGGTCGAGTGGGTTCACTTACAGTGGATCCTCAGTATCTGGACTTTGAGGCCTTGGAATGTAAGTCTTTGCGTTGAGTACTTCTAGTATCACTTTCAAACTTTTCAATTGTCAAACCTCTTTGCAGACAAGAGCTCTTCCGAGCCGAATGCCAAGGAGACACTCCTCTCCTTCTTCGATCTCTCCGAGACGCGACTATATATAGTTCTAGGCCTGATTGCCGCTCTGGTGCTTATCGCTCTTATCCAGGCCTTTTGCACCATTTGGAAGACGTCGCGCAAGAGCAAGAATACCAAGGTGAGTAAGAGGCTCTTAATGGAGTCCAGTGGGTCAGCACTTGGTCGGCCTGCACAGAGAAAATGTAAAACAACATTGGATTTTTCTTATCATAGTAATTGCCATAAAAATTGCAAAATATAATATTTGCTACCATAAAAAAAAATATTTATATTTTTATTGAGGTTTCTTGGAAGTCGTGGTGATAACGTCAAGTTCATACTTTATATTAATGTGACCACTATATAGTATATAAAATTCCTATAAAACGTTAACTTTGAGCTTATTAATAATTCCAAATAGCTAAAAAAAACAAATCCAAAATGTTATACATTAGTATTATGATTTCTCTGTGTTGCCTTTGACCTTTTTCATTCCTTACTTAATAATCTTAACCCTTATATATTACCCTGTGTCGTTCAAAGCTGGTTTACGTGATACCCGAAGAGTGGCGCATGTACCAACAGCGACAGCACCAGCGCTACTATCAGCCCTCTAGCGATCTATAGATCAGATATACATACTTACTATATATAAAGTCCCACTGCCCACGATCCACCTGAAACGCGAGCTACAGCTACAGCTGCCTTAGGCGCATTTACAATTTAATTTGAAGCCATCTTTTAGTTAGTTTAATATTACCGGAAACCTCTTGATTATGTACTGTATCTGAAACTGAATCTGTATCTGTATCTGCGTGTGTGCCGCGTGCGTTTATCAAAATTCTATAACTAAATGGGTAATTCAAAACTCTATATTTTCTTGTGGTTTCTGTTTGTTTTATTAACACCTCGTCACCTAACAAAAAAAAAAAAAAACCAAAAAAAATTAAAACAAAACTCATTCAACTCTCCACTCTGTCGGTGATCTCTGTTTTCCTTCTTTACTTCTCTGCGTCTCTTTAACCACCTCTTCTGTGCTTCTTTCAGTGCGTCCTAATTTAATCCATATTCGCATTTTTTCGTTAAATATTTGTGATCGAGTTCTCCTGGCCAGTCAGCATTTGCTATATGCTAAGCACTCTCAAAACTACCTTGGAGTAGTGCTCTTAAACCCATTGTAGATCGTAGATCTCCTTCAGCTGTCTCCTAACTTTACCCCAACTATTAACAGACTCCTTACAGTACCTGGACTATCCTGGTATAATGGCTTGGTTAGGAATGTTAAGTGATTTGGCTTAAACGCAGGCACAATACACATTTCCAGAGCAGTTGTACACAGAAAAAATGAATTCGATTATAAGAAATGTAAAAGAAATCATTGAAGATTTTAAATCCCTTAAAAAGAGTCACAAAAGTATGCTGTTTTAATTATAAAGATTTCATTGCATACTTTTGTGTGTATATTTATATAGATTTCTAATAACTGCAGATTTCCCTTTTCGTGAATTGCCTTTTGTGATCAATACATTTTTTCTGTGAAGTGCATAATCGATCTGCATAGTATTTGGTGAAACCCGAACCCTTTAAGACACCTCCCCACCAAATGCTGACTGGTTGAGCGCACCTTGAGTTGGAGTCCAACGATATTGCAGCCTATATCTCATGCTGACATCTCTTGTTGTGCTTGCAGGAGAAACTTATCCAAAACTCACCCTGGAAGGAGTTCGCCTCAAACACGAACTACGCCTTTGATCCCTACGGCGAAACGGAGGAGAAGCACATGACCAACAGTACGACGGCCAAGGAGAAGGCACGTCATCGCCATCAATCCACCACGAGCAGCCAGCAGACCACGCTACCCATGTCCCACTCGCCCACAAGCAAGTCCCAGATGTATTACGAAAGTCCCAATGGCCAGGGCAAGGGCAGCGGGAACGGCAACGGCAACGGCAGTCGCTCCAACGGACGTTCCGCCCCCGTCACCCAGGAGAGCAGCGCGGGAGGAGCGCCCTACTCGCGCAGCTCGTATGCGGAACGAGCTTACTCCCTGCCCCGGCAGGCGCATCATTACCAACAGAGCCCGGCCAGCATGCAGCCATCGGGCTATTATACCCACGACAGGCGGGCCGCCAGGCAGGGGAGCCGCGACAGGGAGCGTGAGCGCGAGCGGGAGGAGGAGCGTCGCCATCGCCAGGATCGTGATCGCGACTCTGGCTACGATCGGTCGCGAGATGATCCGCGCCAGAACGGTGGCTCCGACACGCCCGACTTTTACTTTATGCCCTCGCAGCGCAAGTACTCCGGCGAGGTGGTGCGCGTCTACGTGGATTACAACAAGGATCCGAAGCACTAAGCCACACAAAACGCACGCATCTGTTTATTTAAAGATCGTTTTAAGTTCTACCATCTGTACTCCGTCCGTTCTTAGTCCGTCCGTTCCGAATTTGACTTTATTTCGGATTTGGAAAGTATTTAAACTAATGTATAACTATGTTTTTTTCATACTCTCGTATAATCACCATACATATCTTGTAAGCCGTGTATATGTTTTACTCCAAAATGTATTTTTTTTTGTTGATCCCCGCCTCTGTGCACTTCCCCATCACCCGTGCTCTCTCTCAATCTCTCCCTTAGTTTCGATTTTGCCATAAAGCAGCTCGGGAATGCAGTGGCGATGGCCTTCCCGTTGGCTTTTCCAGGTGCGCCAGCTTTACACCACAAAAACGCACAACAACAACGCATGATTCTACAACTTAGTGAATTGTAAATATTTTGCATAGACTAAAAAAAAAACAAAATAAATCAGCAACACAAATCACAACTGCAACTGCAATTAGGTACGTGCATTCAAAATGTTTTCGCATTGTCTTACTTTAAATGTGCAAAGAAACATAGTCACTGTATTTAATCAAATTAAATATTCGCATTAAGTACGATTAAATAAAGTTAAGGACATTAAATACGCTAAATGCTACTTGTTGTCTTCCTTAGGGGTTGGAATCATAGTCGCTGGTGTAGCCTTCATTCATTCGTTACTATGCCAGCAATCCAATTCGTGTATTCCAAGACATTTGTGAGTATGATCAGGCCATTCAATGAATAACTCACGATTCCAACTAGAACGAACTTATCCTTGTCAGAATATACCGTCTTTATACCCATTATGTCTCCAGCCTGGCCATATTTTATCTCCTTTTCTTTCTCAGGCTCTTCGATGCATAGTTGATCCTGTTCCATTTCGGTTTCGATTCTGGTGGAACACTCACTGGAATTGATAAGATGAACCTTCAGTGAAGTGGCATTAGATGCCCTGGAGTCGAAGATGGTAAAATTCGTAGAGTTTGCTGCTCGCTGACGGTGCCTTGCCTGCAGGAGCATACATATTGGTTTCCGTTTGCCTGTAGGGGTTACATATGTACATAGTTAGTGGCAGAGAAAAGGTATTACAGGAAACTGACAAAAGTTACCTGAAAGGGACGGCGGCCTGGCCAGCTTAAGCAGGGCTATATCATGGTTGTGGTCACCTGAAAAGTCTGGATGCTTAATGATCGATTCGACTGGCACTTCTTCATAAACAATATCTTCACTTATTGAGACCACCCTATATATAAAAAAAACAATTATTTTCTATACAAAATCATTACGAAAACACTTACAAAGAGCCCGCATCTGAGGGCAAGTCTTTAGCAGTTGTAAGGACATAACCTGGAAATTATAAAGAAGATAGAATCATAAAGCAGAGGGATACGTGCAAAGTACATACGATCTGTGATCATCACTCCTTTTCCTGGGATTTTGCCTCCATAGATGTGTACCACCATGTTTAATGATATATCGTCGCCACCGCACTCATCGTACAAAAACATTGCCTGTCTGGGAGTTGGAGTTGGCGATGGAATCGTGGCGTCAAACGAGGGATTAGTATATAGATATTGCTTAATATTCCCATCAATCCAGTTAGCATAGCTTGAGACATCGGTGTAGATTCCCACTCCTCTGCAATTTCTTATACCAAAGCTAACAATAGCCAACTGTATCTTGAGTTTATCACCATTTACAGTTACATTTTTTGTCAGGGGACCACCAGAATCACCCCCGCAGGTGTCTCCATACCAGGATCCAACACAGAGCTGGTTCGAGGTGAGTGTATGATCGCGAAGAAGACGGTCGCACAACCTGCGATCTTTGCGATAGAGTCTGACTTTCTGAAGAAGTTCGCTTTCTTTTTCTAACTCTGTTAAACCCCAGCCATAGGCGTCGAATGTGCGGAAGTTATCCACTCTGCTCTTTAGCGAAGGATCCAGGGAAATACAGATGGGATATACATCAACTGCGAACAGAAAAACTAAGAAAGCGAGCATTGGCGATCAACTAGACAACACTTACAGCCAAACCGAATATCTTGCGATAGTTTAAGCAGGCCAATATCGTGTTCCATGTTTCTTCTTGAGTATCCATGATGAATCAGCCCCCGGATGACTCCATACTCTTGAGTTGGGCTCGTTTTGTTATAAGCTCCCAACATCACAATTCTGAAAATCAAAATATTTATTATGCAAGTCTGAAATAGTATGCTTTAAGTGTGCTTACAAGTTGTTTTGACCCTCAATGCAATGGGCTGCGGTCAACACAAAGCCTAAAAGTATAAAAAAAAAGCGAATTAATTATGTTATCTACATTGAGCGAGGTTTCATTGGAAATATATTAATACATACGTCTGTGGATTACAGTGCCGCCACACAGAAACCTTTTTGTATTAAATATGGCAGCCATCCACGCAGCAGCCTCCCATTCGGCGTTGTCGCCATTTATGATCCTTGAAACTAAAGAACTTATGCAATCGTCCTCCAGCATTTGACCAGCGCTCCTTTGAATCAGAAGCACGGAGATAAAAGTCGTCCATAAGAACACTTGCATCGTACGAACTAATGAAAGTAACTGAATCAACCAGCGGGAGAATGAAATGAGCGAAGAAAGTACTAAATCCGCTTATCAGCAGTTTGCCGAGAATTGATTTCAGACCTCCGACACTTTTGCTTACTTATGTTTAAGTCATTTTTTAAATGATTTCCACGAAATTTCTCGAATTTAATTTATGTATAATCAATATGAATTTTGTATATATAATATATACATATAAGAATATTTAATGGATCCGTAAGCTGTAAAACAGATTTACGATCTCTTTTAGGTAACTTATCTCCTTAAAATAATTTGAAAATATTTGTTTTAAGACTCAAATTTATGTCGTTGTCGTCGTTAATATTATACACATTTATTTTTAAATAAAACATAGATATATCTATTTAATTATGGAAAAAGTCCCTGCCATATACTCAATTAGATATTCTTGGAACTCGTCTTATTCGATGCTCAAATAAATTTGGAGCTTTGAACAGCCTTGTGAAGAGCACTAGGACCCTAAGCCACAGCTCACGGATACTGAATGGAAAAATCTAAACTAGGTGACTTCTCCAAACTGTCGTTAGAGCTATACTTACAGTTTGGGCATTAGGACATAAAAATGTCAGTATCTTAAAGCTCTTAACTCTCTCATGGAATACAACGTTGTCGTTTGCCGTTTATCCTATAAGTTTGATGCAGGCCAGAGCTCAACTTGTACTTTTTATAGATCAAATTCTGGACATGGATCCGCAGGTAATTCTAATTTTTGTCTGACAATTCGGAACTTCTTTGCTTATCGGTTTTACGGAATATGTTCCAATAGTTGTGTGCCATCATTAAGTTTGCAAAGAGCAGCCCAAACTCTAGAACCGCTCGAGAAATCGAATACTTATACACTTTTAATTATTTGCTTCGTTATTTTTTTATTATTTTTTTTTTTAAAGCCTCAATATTATAAGAATATTGTGTCCAAGTTTTACATCGATCATAGCAAAATTGACAAACTTATGGAGAGTTCAACGAAGCCGATTTAACATTCCTTTCAATCCAGTTAGCATAGCTTGAGACATCGGTGTAGATTCGCTCTCCATCGCATCTCATTTTGCCAAAGATATGAATCCCTAATTGTACCTGGACTTGTTCGCCCTTTACAGTTACTTTTTTTGTCAGGGGACCACCAGAATCACCCCCGCAGGTGTCTCTGTCCAAGGATCCAATACAGAGCTGGTTCGAGGTGAGTGGACGGCGAAGGAAATTGTCGCACGTCGTGTGATCTAGGCGATAGAGTCTGACTTTCCGAAGAAGTTGGCTTTCTCGTTCCATCTCTGTTGAACCCCAGTCATAGGCGTCAAATTTCTGGATGATCTCCACTCTGCTCTTCATCTCAGGATCCAGGGAAATACAGATGGGATATACATCAACTGCGGAGAGAAAAACTAAGAAAGCGAGCATTGACGATCAAGCAGTCAACACTTACTGCCAAACTGAATATCTTGCGATAGTTTAAGCAGGCCAATATCGTGTTCCATGTTTCTTTTTGAGTATCCACGATAAATCACCCCCTTGATGGCATTATACTCTTGAGTTGGGTTCGATTTGTTATAAGCTCCCAACTTCACAAATCTGAAAAAAACAATATAATTAGTATGCTTTCTAAAATCTATACATAGTATAAGTATGCTTACAAGTGGCTTTGATCCTCAATGCAATGAGCGGCGGTCAACACAAAGCCTAAAAGTATATCTATATCAAGCACGGTTTCCCAGGGAATGTGTAAATACATACGTCTGTGGATCACAGTGCCGCCACACAAAAATGATTCATTATTGAATATGGCAGCCATCCATGGAGCAGCCTCCGATTCGGCGTCTGCACCATAATGGAGCCATGATCTAATTCCAGAAGTTCCGCATTGGTCCACTAGCATTCGACCAGCGCTCCTTTGAATTAGGAGCACGGAGATCAAAGTCGTCCATAAGAACACCTGCATCGTACGAACTAGTGAAAGTAACTGAATCAGCGGGAGAATGAGATGAGCGAAGAAAGTACTAAATCCGCTTATCAGCAGTTTTCCAAGAATTGATTTCAGACCTCATTAATGTTTAAACCATGTTTTCTACGAAATTCCCGGAATTTAATTGACGTAGTCGTTTTATTATACATAAATTTATCAATTCATGTTCAAACCTAATCGTTCCCACAATAACAAAGACATTGCATATTTTTCTTAATCATTTAATTTAATTTTATATTTTAGTTGAATTTTAAGTAATAAACTTATGGACAAACAAATGTAAGGAATTTCACACAACAAAATCATCAAATCAACGGTAATTCATGAAGCTGGATCTGGAATGACAATGGAGGTCACATAAAGCGGCAGAGCTAAAGAAAATATGCTACTTACCCTCCAAAGGCCGGCTTCTGGGCATTCGAGTTTCCCGTCTGGGCTAGATTCCCAAACGAGAGACCCGATTCCTGACCACCGAGTGTCTCAAAGATATTACCCTCGGTCGGCTTTGGCGCTGCTCCGAATGCGGGTGGCGAGGCTACAGGATTGGCGCCGCCGCCACCGCCAAAGCCACCGAAGCCCTTGGGACTGCCAAATGTGGGTGCTCCGCCAAAGGTGGGACCTGCTCCGAAAGCTGGCGATCCGCCAAACACAGGCTTGGCTCCAAATCCACCTGGAGCCGCCGGCTGCTGCGGCGGCGATTGCGGCGATCCAAAGCCCGACTGGGCCACTGAGCCAGCGGCACCGCCTTGGCCAAATCCAAAGCCTCCCGAGGCTGGTGATGACTGCGAAAAGGAGCCAAAGCCACCGCTGCTGGTGGTGGTGCCACCACCAAAGATCGATCCGCCTGAAGCTGCCGGTCCTGTCGAGGGTGCCGGTGAGCCGAAGATTGAGCCTCCGCCACCGCCGCCAAAGGCAGACGGTTGCGACTGCTGCGGTGAACCAACCGGATTGGAGAATAAATTGCCACCAGATGCCGGAGATGCTGCCTGAGACGACTGGCCAAAGACACTTTGACCAAAGATCGAAGTACCAGCTCCCGGAGCGGGTGCACTCACCGGACTTTGTGGATTACTCCCACCGAAAATAGAGCTTGAACCAAACGGTGAACTGCCTGCTCCGCCAAAAATGGAGCCTCCACCACCGGATGCAGCGGTGGCGGCGGGCGCCGCTTGGCCAAAGCCACTTGGCTTTAGGGCCTGGCCAAAGATGTTGCCGCCGGAAGCAGCTGCTCCAGTTTGAGGACTGCCAAATGGCGCCGGATTGCTGATGGCCGCCGAAGCAAAGAGGCCTGTTGGTGGCAGAGAAGCAACAGCAGCAGGCGGAGCAGGAGTAGCTCCAAAAACGCTGGCCTCCGGCTTGGGTACACTGCCGAAGATGTTGCCAGTCGGTGCGGCGGGTGAAGTTCCAGTTGCGGGCGCGGAAGCAGGAGCGATGCTTGTTGCTGTCACCGCTGCCTGAAAAGGGCTGCCGGCCGCTGCTGTTGTGGCTACTCCAAAACCTCCTCCAAAGACAGAAGTAGGGGCGTTGCTTGCTATGGATGTGGCGGGCGAAGAGGTGGACCCTGCACTCAGGCTACTGAAGGCATTCGAGAAGGAGAAGGTGCTTCCCGGCACAGGTGTAGCAGAGGCAGTTGTGGCTTGTGGAACCGATGCTACGGGTGGTGCTGCCGGACTTGCTGCTGGTGCTGTTGGAGCTGCTGCGGGGGCTGTTGGAGCAACTGCGGCGGCTGTCGAAGTAACCGTTGCTGTTGTTGGCACAGCCAATGGATCAGTGGTCTTTACAGCTGCAGTTGTTGTGATGGGTTCAGCTTTAGAGGATGCCTCTGTTCCAGCAGTGTTCACTGCGGGTGTAATGCTGGCAAAGAGTCCCTTTGCGGCGTCGGTAGTTGCACTGGCAAAGGAGAAACTGCCAGAAGATGAGCCACCAAAGAGACTAGCTGGCTTCTGGCTGAAATCTGCAAAAGAGAAATTCACTCTTAGACTTCGTTTCAAGTTGAAAAATGTGATTACAAGAACTAACCGCTTGCCGTTTCCTTAGTGTTTGGCTTGCAAATATTAACAGAGCCAAAGAGGCCGCCTCCAATGGGATCCGAAGTACTGGTTGATGCTGGAGAAGACACAGTGGCTCCTGGAGCCGGAATTGGCTTACTGCTGACCACTGTAGTCTCTGTAGCAACTGGCTTCGTCGCGAACATGCCGAATGGAGCAGCTGGCGTTGAGGTCGTAGATGCCACAACTGTGACTGGAGAAGCATCCGGTTTTGGGGCAACAGATCCACCAAAGCCCAGCGAAGATCCAAGACCACCGAAGCTAAAAGCTGAGGAACTGGCAGCACCGCCGCTCACGGCAGCGCCAGCTCCCTTAAAACCACCAAAATCAAAGGACTTGGTGGTGGTCTCCGCCTTTGGAGTTTGTACTGGCTCGGGGGCAGCGGTAACAGAAGCTGGCTCCTTTGGCTTGCCAGTCTCTGGGGCCGGCTCCGGGGCCTTTCCAAATCCGGGTAGGAGGTTAATTTTAGACCCTGGAGCCACATCCGTCGCAGCTGCTGTTGGTTTTGGGGCGCCACCGAAGGGGAGCGATGTCTTCGATCCGCCACCGAAGCTAAAGCTGGAGCCCAAACCGCCGAAAATTGACGTTCCTGGCTTGGGAGCCTCACCTGCGGTCAAAGTATTTGTCGTCGCTGTTACCGTGGAAGTCTTGGTAAAGGGACTACTCTGACTAAAGGCAAAGGCCGTGGCACTCGGGTTGGGAGCGATGGCATGGATGCCGGGCTTGTCCACCACTGTCGGCTTAGATGGCATCGGTTTTGGTAGTTGCTGCGGAGCTGCTGCGGCGGGAGCTGGTGCAGGCGCGGCTGGAAGGACAGTCGCTGCTGCTGCTTGGGTGTACTTGTTGGCCGTCGTTGGCTTGGCCTCTGCCTTCTTGATCAGCTCCACCTTGCGCTTCGTCTCCAAAATAACCTCCGATTTGAGGCCCACGCGATCCGGTCGCTGCGGACATATGGTATTGATTTTCTGCGCTTGAACCACCCTACGTATCTGGTCCAACTTTTCCTGTGTCAGTTTGCTGGCATTGGAATCCACGGCCTGGCTCAGGGTCATGGATAAAATAGATTCGGTCAGAGTGTCCACGCTGCAGGGAAACCAGTAGTTAGGCAAGAGCTTAAAGTGGGGGATTTGCAATACTCACGCTTCCATGGTGCGTGTACGACTCTTCTCCTGGTCGAGCAGAGCCACCTGGAGCAGTCCACGCTCCTTAAGCTTGGCCTTTATCTTGTTCTGCAGTATCCTCTGATCGGAGGCAAAATTCTGGAGCTTGGTCAGACGCTGGTAAATGCCCTCCAGGCAAGGCATATGCAGGCGCGATTTAGAGTTGCGCCGAACAACGTCCTGGAACTGCTCCCACTGCACATCGATATGCTGCTGGGCCAGCACCAGCTGAGCCTCATTGGCGGCCACATAGCTCTGAAGACGGGCCAGCATGCGGCGGCCAGCAGGATCGTATGAGCTCGAGTTCATCAGGCGGGTTATACTAAAAGGATATGGGGGAAAACTTTAATAGAATGTCTTTGGAGTAAACTACAAGTAATAAGCTTACTCCGGCTTCCTGTAGATCTCCAGCTTGCCACGGCACTCTGCCACGATGGCATAGGCCTCGTTAAGACCCTGCCGCAGACCCTGCACATCCAACTCGAACTCCACGTCCTTGGCCTGCTCATTCAACTCCTGTAGATCATCCAAACGCTTGGCGTACACCTTCAGAGCCGAGGGCGTGGCAATCTGTGAGGGATCGTGAAAATATAGTACTTATTAAATGAGGGGAAATAAAATTATATATTACCGTGCTTAGCAGCTGCTTAGTCCGATCTTTCTGCTTTTGAATATCCGCATTAAAACCCTCAATTTGCAGGGCAATCATATCCCTGATGATGGGCTCGGTGTCGTCTAGTTTTAGGGTATCCGCTGCTGCTGCTGGCTGAGCAGGAGGAGCTGCTGCTGTCGGAGCAACTGGCTTACTGGGCACTGGCGTGAATGTCGGCGGAACAGTGTACAGTGGCTTATTTAAGAGAGTCCCAGCACCGGCACTAGGTGCTGCAGTTGTTGTTACTTCTGGAGCTGCGGGGCGTGGCACTACTAGACCTGAAGAGGATTTACTCAAGGCCATGCCAGGAGCGGAAAACATGGAACCGACTGAAGCAGTCGACGATGGAGCACCAAATCCTCCAAAACCTGCGGCGCCGGGCTTTGCTGCTGTGACCGTCGGGGCAGCAAAGGAGAGTGGTTCTGGCGCCGGAGCTGCACCAAAGGTTAGCTGCGAGCCAGGACCTGTTTTGGCTGCCGGACTGGCAAAGGAAAACATCGGTAATGGCTTGTCCTTGGCCGGAGCCGGCGTCGATGTAACCGTATTTGGACTGAAAGCGAAGGAGAAGTCCGAGGAAGCACCGACAACTGGTGTTTTGGACGGCGGACTTGCCGTTTCCGTCGTCGTCGTCGGCTGCTGCACTTGCTCTTCCTGCTCCTCATCGCTGGCTGGCAGCAGCGTGTTGAGTGCTCGAAACTGACCAGAAGTGTCCGCCACCGGTGGGGGAGGCGAACAGACAGACACGGCTCCCGGCAACAGATTCAAAAAGTCAAAGGACAGTAGGGCTCCGTCCGAGCCCAACACGTGCACCATTGGCATCGTCTGGAGCTTTTGTTCGTTTATGACCAGCTGATGCGTTGAGGAGGTGTCATAGACGAAGCCCAGCGGGAAGGTCTCCTCCTGAGTGGACTCGCTAAGCGGCAGCTCAATCCTAGCCTCATCCAGCAGGGTGAACTGCTGCCAAGACGGAGTATCGCCGGCCTCCGTTGTGCCCATAATGCCCACCTCAACGCCATTGGCCGAGGTCACCAGCAGCACGTTCCACTGCGGCACATGGTTGAATAGGAACTGATGATTGCGAGGTCCATTCAAACTGTAGCAAATGTCATAGTAGTTGATGTAGCTGGGGGCAACCGCCTTCGGTGCGTTCAGGATGTACAGGGATGGATTGCAGTCCTCTCCGTGCTGCAGAAATACCACAGCGAACTGAAACGTCGACAGCCACTGGATGGCAATGGTATCAAAGGGGGCGTCGTGGACATTTGGGGGGCACACCAGCGTCTTGGCGGGCGTTAGATCGGGTTTGAACTGCTGCAGCTTGCCGCTGGGAAAGCCCAGAACGATCTGCTTTCCTTTCGGCGACCAGCAGCCACATTTCACCTGCTGGCTCTTGTCCAGCGAATGCATTTCAAAGTTTCCGGCCTCCTTTAAGGCGTACATTCCCAGGGCGCCGTTGCTGAGGACCACCGCCAGGCTGTTGGGCAGCACGGGATTCCACAGAAGCTGCACAGCGTGCACATAGTCCTCCGGCGCCAAGCGAATGCTATAAACCGGACGAATGTCCGGCGTCATAAACGTCGGCACTGCATAGATGCTAAGCAGGCTGGTGCCGTTCTGGGTGTGATTAATGGCCAACAGATTTCCGTCTGCACTGCACGAGATGTAGTTGGGAACGCTGGGCAGGGGGACAAGGCGAGCCTGCGGCTGTTGGCCCGTTGTCTTGGCATTGGCCAGATCCTTCAGAATGATCACTGCGTGGAGGAGCAGGTGTAAGTGAAAAATAAGGGTTAAACAAGAACGGGCTGACTACTTACCCTTCAATTCAGGCTGCGTAGGATTTCCGGCGAAGAGCAAGCCACGGCTGCTGGAGATCGCCAGCAATTTAACATTGCTGCGCGGCTCCCCACATTTTTTGAACGCCACGAATTTGTCATGGAGCTTAAACTGAAAATCCTGCAATTTAACCATGTTTGTTTATAATTAATAAGCTTTTCTGACACCAGAATTCGTGTTTTTAGATTTGTTCACAAATTGTACGGCATGCTTGTTCCCGATCTCTGAGGAATTTTGAATACCTATCTCGCACACGTTTTTAGAAACCTCTTGGATTTATACTAACCTGTGTGTCCTTGCAGGCTGGTGCATTCTGCGCCATTTTCGTTCTTTCTCTTATTATTTATATAAATTCTTTAGTTTTTAACAAATTTTGGCAATTCGAGCCGGCAATGTGGCCGCAAGTCAGAAATAAAAAAAATACCAAAAAGCGGAAAGCGCGGCACCTCTGAAATGTTTGGTAAACTCACCTCAAAAGGAAACTCACCTCAATTTTAATAATTTAATTTAATTTATTATAAAATTATTATTCTAATGGAACAGCTAACAAACAAGACTATAATTGCTGTCATATTTACAGGGTCGTATATATAATTTTAATTGTTTAAATTAAATTGTAAAATTGTAAATTAATGTGACCAACAATGTTTGCAGGTATATTTCGGTTTTGGTATTTTTTCAGTATGCATCAGAACGCGCATTTCATCACATCTCTAGCGCAGCAGTTTTGTTGTTGTTCCTCTGTCTCTGTCCAGCAAACGTTCTTTTTTTTGTTGTCAGCAGCGAACGAAATTAAACAAAAGCGATTTATTCGCGGGCAATGCAGGCACAAATCCCAGCACAAAAAGTGGCCCATTACAAGTGAAAAAATGCACAAAGCCATGTAGATATAGTCGAGCTGTTCGAATCGAAGCTGGCGATGCACACAATTATCCAGTGGCGACGCAACACGGTGCTAAAAATTGCGTAGTCAATTCAAGTTGGAGTCCAAGTCCTCCTCCTCGTCCATTTCTTCTCATGCTTTTCGTTGTTCAATCGCAGTAGCTTACAACAACAACGAATGTGTCAAGTTTATTCAAACTGGCCAGTTTAAATTGTTTGTAAAAAAGCATTTGGAGCACCTCAAATTACACGAGTACTGCAGGAGGGTAGGTAAGATGCAAGGATGAGGGCCTTAAAGGACGATTACTTATTCCTGTACTTTTCCACAGAACAAAGGAACCACAGAGTACAAGTCATCAAAATGATCAGCAGTCTATTTTCGCGGTTGATAATGTAAGTAACTCCTTACTTTACCGTTAACCAATGTAAGCGAACAGAGTGGGAGTGCAAGCGAGAGCGCCGCAGCTGCTGCTGTTTCCGCTGCTGACCCCCAAAAAAACTTTTCAAGCTCGGCCTTCGAATCGAGAAAAAAAAAAACTTGGAAGAGTCACTGCCGCCTCGATTCCTAATTATGTGGGCGTCACGCTTCTGATTCTTTTTTTTTCGCGTTTCGAGTGTATTTCCGTGGTTTCTCGAGCGTGGTTAGCGCTTGACTTTGGTGATTTGCCCGATTGTTTGTTTATTAATCAGCTGTCGCCAAGTACCGTTCACTTGCAGCTGTGTGTGATTGCCGAGTGCGTGTGCATGTGTTTAACCCTCAATTGAACTCCTAATTTGGAGTTTGCTACTTTCTGAGGCCGTCGCTCTCTCTCGCCTTGCCCGATATGGATACCGAACATGTGGCTATATAGCCGGCTATATATTCTCTTTGTGACTCCACGCAAAAGTGGCGGCCTATTGTTGTCAATATTTATAGATCGGGCACGAATTTGCACTTGGCGTTCATATGTTGCATGTCGCAACAGTGTCGGTCGCATTGTTAGAACAGAAAGTAGTCCAAAATATGTTTTTATTTGTAAACATTAAAAATACTATGTGTATTGTTGAAAAATATTTAAATTGAAGACTTATATTCATTAGATATTCTTAAAATATTCAAAAAGAAAAGAAAAAACAACCCCAAAAAGGGATGCTATTCATTTCACCGCGTCTGTGTTAACCCATACCGTGTCTCTGAACTGTGGCGAGCATTCCGCGGTGTAAACAATTGCCGGAGAGGCTACTGCTGCTGGTGCTCTCCGAGACCCAAGCGAGTGTTTATTAATAGACCCCCCGCCAGAGCGTTAGATGGCACACGTCTGTTCTCCGCCAGCACCAGTCTCTGCTCGGCGTTCTAGCGGCCAGGATCGTACTGACTAATTGCCCAGCTGCGGGCAATGCATAGTCGCCGTCGCCATGAGCCGGCCAATCTATCAGCAGGAGCCGCGGGCACAGCCGCTATACTACCACCAGCAGCGGCCAGCTAATCTCCGACGCCTACGTCATCCGCCGGGCATTGTTTACGGGCGCAGCTACTCGCTCGAGGAGGAGCAGCACCTAACGGATGAGGATGTGATACCCGTGTATCCAAAATTTATCTACGCCCAACACCAGCAGCAGCAGCAGGGACGTCGGGCTCCTTATCCTTATCAGCTGGGGGATTCGATGACTTCGCTGGATAGCGATTTCACGGAGAATAATTATTATAACGGTGGCGCGTATATTGTGGAGCAACCGCCACCGCAGGTGCCACCCGCCGCCAAGATGGTTCAGAATCTCAATGCAGTGGGCCGCATTTTGGAGCTACTGCAGCGCTGTCCATTGCCGTGTCTCTCCTTCAACACGACCTGCATCTGTTCGCTGATTGTCATATTTCTAGCCCCGCGTACTTGTGTACAGAGTTTACTGTTTCCCGCTTTCAGATTGTTCTGCGGCACCCTGTATCCGGCCTATGCCTCCTACAAGGCAGTCAGGACCAAGGATGTCAAGGAATATGTGAGTATTCAAGACTTTAAAAATCATGTTAAAAAGGGAAATGTTAAGGGGCTTAATAAATTTATTTTAATTTAATTAATTTTTATTTGATTAACACAATAAAAGTCGAGATTACTCAACTTAGTCAAAAGATAATTTGCCTTAAATTTGTCAGCATTTTTATTAAATTAAATTAAATTTAATTATACACATGATTGTCATAATAACTTTCCCATCCCCTCAGGTCAAATGGATGATGTACTGGATTGTCTTTGCATTTTTCACCTGCATTGAAACATTCACGGACATCTTTGTCTCCTGGATACCCTTCTACTACGAGATTAAGGTGGCCCTCGTCTTTTGGCTCCTCTCCCCGGCCACAAAGGGCAGTTCCACCCTGTATCGCAAGTTCGTGCATCCGATGTTGACGCGCCACGAACAGGTGGGGGCAATATCACACTTGTATATGTATATATCGCTCTTCTGACACGTCTTGGTATGGTTCTCTCTTTGTGCAGGAGATCGATGAGTATGTGAATCAGGCCAAGGAGCGGGGCTATTCGGCAGTTCTGCAGCTGGGCTCCAAGGGAGTCAACTATGCCACCAATGTCCTCATGCAGACGGCCATCAAGGTAATCCCATCCGCACAAGCATCCACCAACAGCCCCCACTGACACACTCACCCACAATATCACACACTCACACACACTCGACTCGCTCAATCGCATTCATTTGGCCATTTTCGATTGCCTCCAGCGTCGTTGCATAAAATGAGCAGCTTCTGCTGTCCCACATATATATATATATACATATATTCGAGATATATTTGCGCAATACGCTCGCGTGCTCATCTTAATCATCGCCAAACTGGTCAGCAGCGAATACCCAGCAGTAGCAGCAGCGGCCAACGGGAGCTCCTCCACATCATCGTCATCATTATCATCAGCATCAGCTCGCTCGCCTTCTTCTCTTCACATTTACTTTTTAATATTATTTAGTTTAAAACGTCTAGAAATGAATGCTCTTTTGTGCCATTTTTGCGTGTGTTTGTTTCGCTTTAGTTTGTAGTGTGTTTCTCTTTGTGTGTAGCCAGATCATCACTATATATACTATATAAACCAGAGGCGATGCACGCCAGAAGATAAATCCAACATGTTGAAATAATGTAATAAAAACAAAAACTGAACAAACCCCCTGCCAGAGATCATCCCGCCCCCCAGCCATCGGTATTCACAATTTGTATGTAAACAATATTGAGATGTGGGCCAAGAGACTTGTGGGATGCAACGTTTAGCCTCTGGATGATGAACTAATGCAGTTCCCACCCATTGATGTAGGTCAAAATAGATGGAGGAGGAATTTGTTGGGAACAACTGAATCAATTTGTAAGAAAGAATGTGAATTAGTCATTGGGATTTCTGGAAAACTTGAGGTTCCTTTCCTTTGTTAATCGGACAAAGACCATTTAGGTGTCTATTTTTGAAGTACATACCTTATTCTGGGTATATATACGAGGTCTTTTATGTTTGTACAAAGAGTGCAGGCTTTTTTACCGGACAAAGACTGTAAAATACAATTCGGGGGAAGAAAATATAAGAACACAATTAAAAAAACTTAAAAATCCCAAATAATCTTGAAAATTAATAATTCTTGGTTTCTATATCTTTATTTAAGGACTTCTTTGTTTAGAATCCCGAAAAATAACTAACTTTGTTGTAGTTTTATGTGCTTAGCAGGCACTCCCTGGCCCCTGGCTTCCCCATTGGAATTCCTTCTCAGTAGCTGCCCAGTTGCACAATTCTAATTCCAATTCCGAGACGGCTCTGTAGGGTAGGGCGGCATACATATAAATATAAATAGATACCGGGGCATATTATGAGACAATTCTCAGGGCGAGTGAGTGTGTGTCGTAGCAATTCATTTCAATTTGAGACTTTTTTGCGTTGCTCTTTTTTAATTAACGTTTTCTTTTCTTCGTTTCTTCACTTATGTTTCTTTGCATTTAACCCACAAATAAACAAAAAATATATCAAACCTATCCAACTAAACGCACCTGCCTGCACCACCGCTCGACTGCCACTAACCCGCTGCCACTAACTGCTGCCTAGACCTTTGCGCTGACCACTGGTCCTCCGGGAAGTGAACAACGCGGCCTCCACAACTCGCATTCGGCAAATGAGCTAACGCGTAACCAGGACATGCTGGACGGCACGGATGAGTGGCTGCCGCGATCTAGTTCCCTTAGCAGCATCTACAGTCACACGGATACGATCTACGAGGCACCGAGACTGGAGTCCAGGCGATTGGTTATTCGCGAAGTGACCGACGAAGAGGATGATGTCCTAAATGATGTACCGATGGGCGATGCCGGGGCAGCTCGACTAAGGGATTTGCCCGTCCGCAAATCGCAGCCCCGTCGTGCAGCCTCAAGCAACACTACTTCCGCAAGAACGACAGGCAAACGCGCTCCAAAAGCAGATGCGATTCGCTCGCGTCGCAAGCTGCGCGAACCCACACCCGATGTGGACGTGGAGAACGATTAAGAAGGACCGATTCAAGATCCAACAAGATACTCAGCGAACGTTCGAATTTCAAACACTCAGCGATATATAAACACTCACAAAACATCTCCATCCTCCTAATCCTGTCGCGTTCTTGGACAGTTTATAGTTCCCTCCCCATACGCACTATAAATATTGCTATGTTTACACCTAAGTTTTACGGTTAGAATGTAGTTCGAGTAAAATTATTTAAATGTCAACTATTGTGCTCTACTCCACGCCACCAACTACCAACCGCGACCCACTATGTGTTCCTGTGAAGGGCGGTGGCAATCTGGTGCAGACCATTAAGCGAAGCTACAGCCTCAGCGATCTGAGCGAGCCGGATATGCATCGTACGCAGGACGAGCTGGACGATGTTATGATGTCATCGATGATGGCTTCATCTGCCGTGGTGATGCGCTCCCCGTCCACAGGTGGCCGTCTGCTGCGACCAAGGAATCAGACACCCGTGGGCAGGTCCGGCAGCGGTACCCGTCATTCCACGGGCATGTACTTTACAGAGGTGGATGTGACTGCCAAAAATGCAGGCGATTTTAAGTGAGTAAAATGATATATGCATATAATATTCTTAATATATGTTCCTTCTCTTCCCTGCCAGCTACAACATTCGCAGCCAGGATGACATCAGTTCCGGCTACTCGAGTGCTGAGCCTGTGAGCGGTCTCAGTCGCACCTCCTCTATGACGAATGCTTCCAAGGGTCGTGTCAAGTCTAAGCGCAATGAGGTAGGCATCCCCTGTATCCCTTCGTTTGCAACTATGTATCTTAATTCGTTTAGAGATTGGTGTTGGTTTAGCAGTTGCTGGAGGAGGAGATGAGGGACGAGGTGTTTATGGAAAACCAGCTGTACTTTCAAGGTGTCCATGGTGGGGAGCATGCCGTTCCCATTGTAAAAGAGCTAAAGATAGTGGAGAGTCAAGAGATGGAAGTGGAGGTAGAAGAGCAGAAAGATGAAAGGGATATGGAAGATGAGGAGGATGATTTCTATGAGGCCTTGCCCTTAATAGAAGAGGAGAAGATCGTAGAAACCAAGCAGGAACTCACAGAGGCAGCTCCTGTATTTGCTCCCATTGAAGAGGAAGAGTTTGTGGATCTGCCCTTTGAAGAATCACCAGAGGAAGCGTCAAGTGAGGTGGTTTCCAACCAAACCAAAGAGCTTTTAAAGCAAGACAAAAACAAAAACCTAAATGAAACTTCAGAAGTCGATGAAGTGAAGGCTTCTCGGCCATTCAAGTCGCATATTCTGCCACCCATCGATCCCTTTGTGCTAGTTCTTAGCGCTTCTGCATCCGCACCAGATCCATTTCTCGTGGAACGACCCCGTCCGATGTCGCCACGTGAAATGCGAGCCACTTTGGAGGAGATCAAGCACAGTTTCCGTGCTCAACTAGAGCCCGAACCACCCGACTCGGCCTCGCCTTCTCCATTAATGCGACCCAAGGCCAATCATGGCAAGGGCCGTGCTCCGGCACCGCCGCTTCCGCCGCCTCTGCCACCTAAAAGGCATTCACTGAGCCCACAGCCGGACACCATCAGCCAGACATCGACGGGCAGCGTGGAGCGCAAGTCAGGTATCGGCCAAATGTTCAAGCATATCAAAGCTAATGTGCTGCGTAACAAAGCTAATCCCAGCCAGCCGCCACCGCCGGAGGATGAGCAGCAGCTGGCGGCCAGAGAGACGCAGATATGATGAAGTAAGCCCAGCAGCCACACGATGCTCGCTCATCATCTCCCAGTGTTATGTTTTGCTCTTACTGCCGGGCGACGTCACCTCCGCCCGCGCCTTAACTTCCATGGCCCCATGACCCAAACAAAATATAAATATGGCATTATCCCCTTTGTACAGTTGCGTTACTAACACTCAGATTAAGGATTTGCAGCATGATCATTGGACTGAAGAATCCTTCTTACCTAACTCTGGTACTAATAAGTTCTCCTTCCTCTTGCTGGACTCATTTCAGGACAAATCCATGTCTGCTAGCTACACTACCTTGCCGCGGACCAGTAGCAGCCGGAAAACGGATAGAATCCAGGGATCGGGCGGAACTGCCAACACCGGACAGGCCAAAACACGGAACAAGTCGGAGAAGTAAAGGGGGCAATCATCGATCTTTAGCCATCCCAGCGATGTGTGGGAATGGTGGATGTTAAGAGTAAATCCATAGAACAAAAACCTCATGTTTTTAGTTTAAATTTTAACTTAATACGGATATATCGATACTGATAGCTATATATGCAGCAGCATGCATTGTGTACTTTGTTTGTGATTATATTAGAGGTCCCAGGGTCTGGTACAACGTCCCTGGCCGATATTGGTACTCATTTCGTGACTAGTTTAGCGTTAAGCGAGTCCTCCTAGCCTAGCCTATCTGCCCAAAGGTTCTCCAAAACAGCTGTACTAACCAAAAAATGAGACGAAACCTATCAAATTGTGTAGCATAAATTCCTAATATCGTAATTGAGCATTAAATAAAACAAGATCTATACCATTGAACTGAATAATAATACATATTTTATATTGGATTAAAGCTATCCGAAAGTCATTGTACGGAATATAGATGTTTCAGTCGAGTCCTGCTGTAAGCCATATCTACTTAAGCTTCCTCCTCCGGTTCGGGAGCCTTTTGAGTGTCTCCAGCTCCACCCTGAGCTACCTTCACTGATCCATTTCGGCCCCCCTCCTCGTCCTCCTCCATCTCCTCAGCTTCATCCGAAGCCTCATCGCTAAAGTATAGAACTTTGCGAATATATCGGGCCACCAACTCCTGCGGTCGCTTTTCCCATTTAATTAAAACCTCGTGCGGAGTTTGTATCTGTAGAGGACTTTCAGTTAGCTCTTGAAGGAAAAAACATTACCTGGTATTATATTCACCTGATCCCCCTTGAGGCGATTCAGGATGGCCACGCAGACAACGGCGCTACGGATGCCAGCTCGACCGGTGAGGGCGGCAAAGGCCAAACTCTCCATTTCAATGTTCTTAATGTCCTGGCTCCGGAGCTGCTCCAAGTAGGCCTTCTTTTGCTCCGGCGTGTACTCACAGAAGGCACCATCCAATCGCGACTGGCCCTCGTAGAAGTCATGAGCACAAAGTGTCTTGCCAATGATGGCCTCGTACCTATCCTTGCAGGGATCGTGGCAGAGCTTGATGTCAAATGCCAAATTCTCGTCCAGTTGGCTGTCATATTTCTCGCCGGAGCCCTGCACTATAATCTCATGGAAGGAATCCAGACGACCGTCAACCGCTTCCGAGGAAATGATCACCGTTCCGGGATCGACGCCAATGCCACCGCAGGTTCCCAGCCGTATAAACACCGGATCTTGGCACTTGGCGTGATACATTATCTTGATGAGCTCGTGCAGCAGGATGGAAATCGAGGGACAGCCGATTCCGTGGCTGACGCAAAGCACTGGACCCACCTTGAACATGGAGAAACGATTGCCCGCCTCCGCCATGTCACGTAGCTGGGTGGCCGCGTTTATCTTAAGGCCGATTTCCTGCATCACATAGTAGGCAAAGTGCTCCATACGCCCCTTTGTCCCTCCCATGCAAACGAACTAGTTTTGGAATTAAGGAATTTTAGAAGGTTGGACTTTTTGAACATAACTTTAAGAAGCTGGCGAATTTATCTAGACAACCCCAAAGATCTTAACAAAATTAATATCTCAAGATATTGTTAAAAATTCTACCGAATCTTTGATCGAACACCTTTAAGCATATAAATGAAAAATATCCTAAAAATCATGCATTTACCCGGACATCTCCGAACACCTTCGGAAAATCAGTGGTCTCTGTATCCAGACCCAAATGATATAGAGTGTCGGGCTTCAGGCACTTGAGGCAGGGATTCAATAAGCCCTTCAGCGAGGACTCCTTGACCTCCACGTCTTTCTTGCAGCCATCCTTGATATGTTGAACCAGCTTGGAGAGCATTTTGCTCTGGGCTTTCACGACGGCTATGGGATGTGGATTACATAACTAGCTCCTTGGTATTTGCTATCGGATTCTTTGTGGTTACCCTTTAGCTGGTTCACTTCGCTGGCCAAACGACATGCACAATCATTACAATTACTTTTGGACATTTTGGTATAACAAAAATTTTGTGCTGCTTTCAAAATGGATTCTGGTTAAAATTAAAAAATTTGAATGAAGATGTCAACATTTAGAAAAGGAAGGTAAATTTGGAAAATTTTCTATTTGGGAGAATTCAGGGTAAATATGATGTATTCCTCAACAAGATCTGGAACTGCCCTCGTAGGCCTGACTAAGCGCTGCGATTACTTTATACGCCATGATCGCGCCGAATTAAACTATAGCGAACGGCAAAAGAGACCAAACCGGCTCGCGTACCACCGAAACCACATCGCCGGGATCCGCTTCTTGCCCATTTCCACTTTCAGCTCCAGACAACTCCGATGCAGCGGCCGGCGGAGAAACCTTCGGCACACATGCGCGCAGCAGCTGATGCGCGAGCGCTGACCTTGACCCTCAATTGGAGAGTCGCGAGGCGCGCGAGAGAGCAGCCGACTTGTTGCCAAGTGCACTCGGCGGAGTTAAAGTTGCGCGCACCCACCCCTCCTCTCTTTCGCACTCTGCGTTATTTTGCCAGCGAGTTTTCACCATTAGTGGCGACTGTACTTCGCAGCAGTAGAGCTGGGAAACTATCGATGGTACTATCGAGGTATCGACTTTTTCCTTTTTTTGAGCCACCATCGATAGTTTTTTATCACTATCGATAGTACGGGACTATTTTTATATCTCTGCTTTGTTGCTAAAATTTAGTAAGAAAAATGCAAACAAATATATATATATATATATATTTTTTTTTTTAATAAAAATGTATTCTAAATTAACTTAAATTGGAGTTGGCGGTGAAAAATATTAACTGAATTTCAAAAGAAAGGGTGCGTCTACGCCACGTCTTCAGAGTCTAAGCGTATGTTTAGCAATGGTAATACAATTTTATTTGTGCAAAGTTGCTTGGATAGAATATTTATGTTAATTACTTAGTCAAAACATATGGCATAATTTTTAAACTCTTGAATAGTATTATAATTCTATTTGAAATTGCTATAACTTTAATTTGCAAAAAGAATCGTAAAAAAACGATACTATCGATAGTATCGAATTTTCGTTTTCAAATCATCGAAAATATCGAATGGTGCCACTATCGATAGTTTCCCAGCTCTACGCAGCAGATATTCACTTAGTGCGCGTGTGTATGTATGCGTAGTTGTACATGAACTGCACGCGGGCAGGAGCGGAAAGAAAGCAGGCAAATATATACATACAGACACACCGCACCGGGGAGAGACAATACAAGCTGATTTCGCCAAGAGCGAGAGAGAGAGGGCGAGTGAGAGCCCCCATCAGCTGCCCGCGCCATGTGTTCGCAGCTGCAATTGTGCCGGTAAACTGGTTGGGAGAGGGAGTGAGATAAAGAGAGTGGTGCCCCCGATCGCTCTCTTCTTTGTCTTGTACTTTTCGCCCGCCCGGTAAAGAAATAACGCATGTCTGGGATTATATTTTTTTTGTCTCAAATCAGCAGCTCCAGCATTTTAATTTACAATTAAAAAACAATCACAGTGATATTTGAATTTTCATTTTCTTCATCGTACGTAGGTTTTCGCATCTTTGTGGTGTGTTCCGAGTTCTGAGTGCCGTTCGTCTTCTTCTTTGTCTACCGCTTAGCTCATCCTCTCCAGCGTTGCGTTGCTTTAATAGTTGTTCTTGTTCTTGGGTGTTATTGTTGCTGTGTGTGTCTACCATTGTTGATGTTCTCCTCTTGTTCTTAGTCTGCTTCTCTGTTCTTGCTTTTTGCGCTGCCCCCTTTCGGCTCTCCTCCTCAGCATTATTGGCTACATGGCTAGCTACCCCGCTCGAGAGATCTTGCCGGGCGATTTGATTGCTTGATGGGTTACTTGGGATGGTGTGGTGGGTGGTGGGGTTGGTGGTTGGTTACATCTTGCCAAGGCTCGCCTCGCCTCGCCGGCAGCAGCTGGATGGAGTCAGAGTAGAGTAGTAACGCGTGGATTCTTCGCCTCTGCTTCTTTGATTTTGTTTTTGATCATTTTTATTTACGATTTTTCTTCCGATTCTATATTATTTTTTTTCTGTGGAACTCCCAATAGGATCAAAATTTTGTTTTCGCTTCTATATAGTAATTTAAGGTAATTGTTTGTATGTTTGTTTTATATAATCTTATATAGTTCATTCCATTCGTTATAATTTTAATTAGTAAATTCAAACACTTTGCAGCATAATCATATATATAATTATAATAAAGTGGTTTGCTTGGTGAATTCTCTTGTTGTTGCTGTGTTGGTGTTGTTGTGGCTTAGTCTCATCTTACAAATTGGGTCGTCGTTTCGTCTTCCTCTCATTCTCCTTCTCCGTCTCATCTTCTTCCTCTTCGTCGGCGTCATCTGCTCTCTCGGCTGCACAGCTGCCGTTGGCTATCGTCGTTGTCTTCTTCTTCTCGCTTTTCGCACCTTCGCGCGCTCCCCGATCCACGATATTCGCCTCCTCGTAGAGCCTCCTTTCTTCCTCCCTTTTCTCTCGTTCGCTGCAGTCTCTAGTTTCCGCTCAGCTTTCTTCGGAAAGTTTCTCACACTTCTCGGGACGTTGATGTTGGCACCGCGCTGCAGGCTCAGCTTTTGGAATCAGAGATGGGATGGTTACTAGCTGGGATTGGGATTGGTAATGATTTTGTAGTTCATGAATTCATGTCTTGTAGATGGTTGAAGTGTATGGACTTGGGTTGGATCGATCCTTGACGTGGGTGTTGCTGCTGCTGTTGCTTTTTCTTCGGCTTCGGTTTCTGCTTAGCTGTTGTTGTTGCTGGGGCTGGCTTATGTGAATGTTGTAGCAAATTGATTTTTCGTTTTTCATTTTTTTTTTTTCATCTTTCTTCTCTTTCATCATCATAATCTTCGTTAACTTGTTCTTCTTCGTGTTGAAATTTTCGCATTCCTCCTTCGATGATTATATATTTTTGGGGGTGGTCCTAGTCGTAGTGGCCTAGTTCCGTCCGCCCTTCTCGTCGCACTCGCGCCTCAAGTGTCCGCTCTTGCCGCAGCCGTAGCAAGTCTTGGAGGTCTCCGGGCAGTTCTTGGAGATGTGTCCGGTGCGGTTGCACTTGTAGCACGACACGTTGGCCGGGCCGCGCTCATTGACCGCCTCGGGGCAGTTGCGCACCCAGTGGCCGGTCTTGTTGCAGCGATAGCAGGTCGGATTGTCCGCCTGGGTGCAGTCCTTCGAGATGTGCCCGATGCCGTTGCAGCGATAGCACCGCTCGGCCTCCTCGGGGCAGGCACGTGCAAAGTGCCCGAACTGGTTGCATTTGTAGCACTTCTCCCGGTTGCGGCGCATGCCGCCGCCATCGCCGCCGCGCATACCGCCACCGCCGCCGCCGCCTCCACCAACGCCAGGTCCGCCGCCGAGACTGCAGTCCCGGGCAAAGTGGCCCGGCCGGTTGCACTTGTAGCACGTGGCAGACATCGACATCTCCGCTTCTTCGCTTTTTCTCGGATCCTCACACAAGACTGAATTCGCTCCTCAACTGCTGCTGCTGCTTCCTCACTTCCTCACACTCACTCGAGCACTACACACTGCTTGCGCTGGATGCGAAAAAACCACACAGACGAACAGGATCTCCGGCAGATTTCCTTCCTCGCCGTATATTTTCGACGCCAAAAGTTAAAATGGCTGCCGAGAGTACCGAGTGGACGGGTATCGAGTACTAGTCAGAGTTGCTTCGGATGCGGATATTTGCAACACTGTTCCTCCACGCGGTGCACATTGGTTTCAGATGCGGCAATATGGAAGTCAAAACGAAAACTGAAAAGCCTGGCTATGTAGTCTGCCCAAGTACTTTGCCACAGCCTACTTTGCTCCATAGAGTCTGAATTTTCATCTTCCAGTTGGTCATTTGCACTTGGGCTTGATAAAGATAAGCGGTATAATATAAGGCGACATACATAACCCAATTCGGGCCGGCTATTTTGGGACTTTTTGCTGACGTAAAACCAGTGTGCCCGTAAGGATGGCATTTTTTGAGACCTTATGGCGCCTATCGATTACTGCGTTAGGGGTACTATCCGGAAATTAAATAACACAGAAGAAATTCAAATTATTTCCAAAATAATGTTTTTTGCAGAAGATTCTTATTTTATCAAAAATATTTTGAAGTTCTTTAAAAGTAATTACAAAAAATCAACCCCATAATCGATTACCGATAGGTCGTTAAGGGTATGCTGTACAAAATGCCGGTAGCTGAAGGGTTGATTTATTATTTACAGCCTAATATTATGCCATGAAAACCAGAATTAAATATATTAAATTTTCATATATTCAAAATAATGTATAAATACCTACATTGGCTTTAAATGGTCAATTTCAGGTATATAATCGATTAGTACATAAGGGGTACTCATAAAAATATATAAAATTTGTTGCTTAATTATTGGGTGTAACATTTATGATTTTTCCGTCATAGAATTTTTATTATTAAATAATCAATTCAATATATTTATCGTTATGCCGTTATCGAGCACTTATTGGCCAATAGAGACGGACCTACCCGATGCTTGGATAGTTTTACAAGTGACGATAGTATCGCCGAGCGGACCCATCTGAAAAAGTGCCATCACTAGCGCCTTAAGAATTAGTTTGTTGTTTTTTTGCACAAAAATATTAACGTTAGTTATGTGTGCGTGGCCAAAATGCTAATTGTTTGGTTAGTGCTTGCCTCCACACTGAGCCGCTGCATCGGAGCCAGCACGACGATCTCGATACCGATCACCACGCAGGACATCATAGCCGGCGACGTGTTTTTTGAAATCATCTCGCCCACGGATTTGGAGTACACTTACCGGCTGCGACCTGCCAAGGATTTCGGCGCTGCTTTCTCGGAGCGACTGGAGGGTGTGCCGCTGGTCCTCACAGATCCGCCGGGCGCCTGCCAGAAGATACGGAACGCCCGCGATCTTAATGGCGGCGTCGCGCTCATCGATCGAGGGTGAGAACTGGCTATAGATTCGCCCCCCTTATAGGGCTTATCTTTGGGGGTGGGAAGTCTAAGAGGTAGTGCCTATATATAGCTATATACCCACTATCAGTAGGTAATACCTTACCTATACCAAAAGGCAAGGCTATTTGTATCACCCATGGAAATATTTTGATTTCCGTCAAGTTCAGCGCTTTTAATACCTAATATTATCATATTATCAGGCTGTCACAATCAAGTTACGTGCGTGAGGGTTCTCGAGTGACCGAGTGACCGGGATTTCTGGTTCGTCAAAAAATGAAGTTCCCTAGTTGTTTCAATACAGATTTCTTATGTTGGAGGACTTCGTGTTATCACGAACTAAGACACACCCATATCTGCTTACCTGTGACCTTATCTTAATGGTTGTCTTCTTTTTAGGGAGTGCTCCTTCCTTACCAAGACGCTCCATGCTGAGGCTGCGGGCGCATTGGGCGCCATCGTTACCGAGTACAATCCCAGCTCGCCGGAGTTTGAGCACTACATTGAGATGATACATGACAACACATACCGTGATGCCAATATACCGGCAGGTTTTCTGCTCGGCAAGAACGGTGTCATCATCCGGTCGACGCTGCAGCGACTGAAACGGGTTCAAGCCTTAATCAACATACCCGTCAATCTCACCTTCACCCCGCCCTCCAAGATCAACCATCCGCCATGGCTGGGCTGGTGACAAGGATGAGCACCGCGCATGTGGGACCTATGTGGACGAGGCACATTCGATTTGAAACCAAAGTGCATAATTGTATTTAGAACAAGCAATCGATACAGCAACTGAGACTAATCCTTAGAGTAACAATAAGTAGCTAATTTAGTAGACAAAAGCCATCAAATGTAAATAAATTGCTAAGCAGCCAGCCAGCCAGTCAGTCAGTTCGCAAGATTGTAAGCTAGACAAATACTATAATAGTTTATTATTACATTGCCGTACAAGTACATGGTTACATTTTGCCCAGGGCGGTGAGATTCAGGCACATGCCAAGCGTGAGGATTACAATGACCACCACGAGGATGGCGAAGCATAGGTAGTTCGGCTGGATGGGCATCCGGAAGAGTTTGGCGGACATATCCAGCGAGGCGGCAAAAAGCAGCGTCGAGTTGAGATCCTCCGCCGAGGTATTATGGTAAACAAAGGGACGAACCCGTATCTGATGGCCGTTCGCCTGGGCATTCTGGCACACTCGTGTCACCGAGGATGCCACGAAAAAGGGCAGCAGTCCCAAAAACAGCCACAGAACAACATTGGCTATGTTCAGCAGGACCAGCTTTAGGGCGCAAAAGTGGAAATCAAAGTCCTTGAAAAGGTAAACCAATCCGGCAAAGGCGTACGCCAGATTCATCACAATCAGGAAGCACACAGGGATGGATACGTGCTGATTTAGCCGCTCCAGTAGCTTGCGGAACTCAAGGACCTCCCTCATCCAGTCCAGCGAGTCGATGGAATGCATTAGCAGCTTATGTGACAGCGTCTCCAGATGCATCCTTAGCAAGTAGCACTCGATGTAGTAGTTGCTCAGTATGATGATCTCCACCAGATCTTGCAGCAGTATGGTGATTAGTAGGCCAACTCGCAGCCCGGTCTCCCAATCGCTTAGGACCTCGGCCAGCCAGGACACCTTTACGATTTGGGCAGGCTGCATCACCACCACGCAGCAGGCGTAGCCGAAAAGCAGTATCAGCAAGGCTAGAGCCACTCCCAAGAAAAACCACAGCATCCGGCAGAGTCTCTTCGGCTTGGCGGACATCAGGAACACCCGCTCGATGAGGTTCTGGAGCTGTTCGTGGTCTATAACTTTGCATACTAAAACGGCTGAGATGAATCCCATCAGATTGAAGGCACTGGGCACAATGTAGCCAAACAGCAATTCTCCAATTGTGTTTGGAGTAACTGCTCCGCCATCGGTTCCATTGGTGATGGGTCTGATATCCCGGTAGCTGTTGAATCCACGATCGCCTCTGTAAAAAATAAATAAAATGGATATTTTAAAGGGTTTCTTTATAGGTCATAAATCTCTATGAATTCCCAAACCCCTCACGTAACTCGAAGGTGATTTATTTTAACGAAGGCATACAAGTTTTTTGCCTTAACTACGTGATAATCGCGCTGGCATTTGTTCCTCTCTTTATTATATTGCTTACAATATTGATATTTGTGTTTTCACAGCTAGTCAATTTTTTTTTAAATTTATTGAGAAGTGATTTACGCCACCTGGTTTTTCGCTGTGCAGCGGCGTCGCACTCACCTGTAGCCGCAAATGTACCGCAAAACATAGCCGAGAAGCAGCACACATAGCACCATCAGCGCCTGGACGTAGCTGCAGCAGGCCCGAACATTGCTCATATCCGTTGAAATGGGATTGAGGCCCACCAGCGTCAGGATAGCCACATAGGGACGAAGGAACTGTGTTCGGACGAGACGTGTTAGTTCCCACGATATGTTGGTTAAGTAATCCACGGGCGACGGTTGGCAGGCGGTCTGATGCCATCGATGGCACCACACCCACACCAAACCAGCAGCTTCAGACCTACCTTCCGTTTGCAGTAGTCCAGGAGGGCGGAGGTGGGTTCATGCTCTCCCGGCTGCTGCAGTTCATCGTTGTTGGCATTCCCATTGAGGCGATTGATGAAACAAAAAGAGCTCTCCGCATTGTGCCGATACATGACAGACAAAGACAAACGTCAACAAAACGGCAGCGGGAGCGAGACGGGTGGGCGAAAGTAACGGTTGTAGTAACAGGTCTCATTCACAACAAAAGCACATAGCGTGGGTGGGGAGGCACAGTGAGAGTGGGAGTGTGAGTTTGGGGAGAGTGCTTGGGGCGGCACACCACGCGAGAGCGAGAGAGAGAGAGGGACAAATAGACCGATCGCGGCTGGCGGTCCAGCCACAACTGAGGCTCCAACTTACCAGCTCGTCATGGAGCCAGGATGAGCCTATCGAGGTGGCTCGGCTCCTGCTTCGGCTGCCGCTTCGGCTGCTCCACGGCTCCGCTTCGGCTGTTCGTTCGATGCCGTTCATCAAGTGCAACTGTAGCGGTAACGGTAAATTGACTAATTGAAACTCGAGCCCCAAAGTCAGAGAGAGATTGGGGGAGAGAGAGAGTGAGCGCAGAAACAATAACAATCAGCGTAAAGAAGCTTTCCTGCGTGAAGCTCTCTTTGAGCTTTGTGTTCTTGCCGCCCCATTTCCCCCGCGTCCTACACACACCCCAACCCCCCTTATCAATCAATTTTATCTCGGGATCGCGTTTCTCGAGTCTGCTGGGCACCTGTTACAGTTTAGATAGGAATCAGGCCCTGTTATCGCCAAGCACTATCTGCCCCGTAGTAAAATTTGCATTTACATATGTATGTTCTTCTTCCATATCAGACATGTGTAAACTCCCCATTTGTACATATGTGGATATGTAATAAATAATATGCATTATTATCGCGTGGCAGCGGGCTTTCCTTTGTCACGCTTTCGCTGATCATACGCCCTCTCCCAATCACTCACTCTCTCTTTCGCTGGCGCATTGATGCTGATTATGCTTTATTGGAATCTCTCTTTCATTAGTATTACTCATGCTGTGGGCCTCCTCCCCTCCCTTTTCACGTCTGCGATAAGAAAGTTTTTAAGCTTTTCTTTAGAAACATAAAAAAATAAAACTAAAAAAGGTCTATTTTTCCTTTCTTAACAGAGAAAATATGGTGAATATTCATAGCATGTATGTATGTACATATGTATGTATTAATATCATGCAAGCTCCCCACATTAATTATCAGTTGTTGGGCAAGTCATCTTTTAGTATTTGCTTTTATTTGTTTTTTAATTAACTTTTTTTGATCTCTGTGCTGCCTTTCAGCACGCAACACTTTGGGTTATAATTTAAACTGTTTGCATCAGACTTGTCTGATCTGACGAGATCTTTCAGAAAAGTCCACTGTTTACCTTGGGGATATCATTGTAATACAAATATTATACATTTAATTAATAAAATAATTTTAAATATCATTCACTTTTATTTAAATAATATCAAGACCTTTATATAATTGTAGTTTTGTTTATACATAATTTCTTAAATAAACTACTACTACATTCCGATATTAAAAACGAATATCACAATATATTATGGCGAATTAAGTAATTTCCAGAGTAATTTTCACATCGGTTTAACTTTTTTTTTGCCCTCATCCGCCCCATCGGTAATAAAGTTTCGAAATTTACGCCAAAGTAATTAAATGAAATTGAACGCAAGTCGAAAGCGGTTTCAACTTTTTGCCGCCACTTAAAATGCTGTTCGACGATTTGGTAACGAGGCCAAGGGACAGAGAGGCCGCATTCCACTTTCAGTCCAGTTACAGGCTGAGATCCATGGCGCCGCAGCAGCAGGAGAAGCCGCAGACAGAAGCCGCAGCCTGTCGGGATGTGAGATACCAGAGTAAAGTACTATCTGGTGCGCCGGGGCTTCCCCTTTGCACTCTCATGTAAATTAGCTGCGTTGTCAAATAATTCTGATTTGTTGTTACTACACAGGCGCACACACAATCACACAGTAGTGGCATGCTAATAAAAGCGGCATTCACCCGGCGAGTCCTGCTATCGTCCTGCCATCCTGCAATCCCCTCATCAATATGTCAGTCTGACCAACACGCTCGTCACTTGCCAGTGTCTCCACCGAGCCGAGCCCTGCCCCATCATCTCGACTCTTAACTAAGCGTGGGCAGCAGCGTTTTTGTTTAAAAATCAAATCAAATATTACGAGAAATTTTCAATGTGGTCGAATGCATAGGAAATTTTATGCCCGCCACAACCGCAAAACGCAAATGTTGACTCCGTCGGATAGCAGTTGGAATACGAGCCCGAACCCGTCCAGATGAAGCCGGACAGATACGGATACCCACTCGCACATCGCACATCATTCAGATACAGATAGGGACGACTGGGTGGACTGAGCTGGTCACAGGAATTGTGGGACCCGTCATGTCAGACATAGCTTTAAATTTTATTTAAACTGGAACCAGGGATATTAAGCGGAAAAAGTTTAATAAGTCTATTTTAATTGTCATTTCTTATAACTTCTTACATTACAGGATAATAAGATACTTTCTAGAATCCATACTCTAGGACTTAATAGATCTGAAATGTATACCTAAACTTCTAAATATACTTAATGAAATAATAACTTGAAAAACACAACATAAAAGATTCTATTTAATAAATATATCTATACAAACATTGATTTGAATCCAAAATTGCAATACCAAAAGGTATAGATAGAAAGATACTTTCTAAGTCAATCAATCTGAAAAGGGAAATGCATATACAAATGATTGTCTTACCAACAATAATCCCAACTTAATGTTGCCACAAAACCACAACAAGATACAACTAGATTAATATCAATATCGGACTCTACACATTTGTTACTTAATTGCTGGTTTAAAGACTGTGTCTGTGCTTTATGCCCGTTGCCCCCTTTGGCCGGCGTGTCAACAAGAGATCAGAGATTGTGGGACGTGTCAAGTGTCCGAAATTCAATTAGACTTCATTAGCATTAGCAGCCGGTGGCAGTTAGTTTCCAGCCCGCAGACCCCTCTTCCTTCCCAGCCCCCCGCTTGTGGTTTTCTCTCACTCTCGCTGTGTTTGTGCGTGAACACAGATTCAAGCGTTGGCAGATTAGCATAAATGAGATCATTAAAATGCGCTTACGTTTTGTGTGTGGGTGTCAGGGGTCAGCGGGTGTTACAAGGAGCACGGGTCACGGCCTGTTCCCTTTGCACGTTTCACGGAGACAGACACCGACTGCAAATTGGCTTGGTCCTGCGAAAGGTGTCACTGCTGCCGGTTGCCGTCTCGGCTAGACGACGGACCTAAGTGAAATTTGCATAATTATTGCAGCATCTTTTGGATGCTACTATTACCCCTCTCAGCAGTCCCCCAAATAGTTTTCCCTCTGCCCCAAACAGCACTGCCTAATTTGCTCATTATGTTTAGTATGATGAGGCAGTTGGGATAAAAAACAGAAGGATCCTTAGGCGACTTTACTTTAAAATTCGTTTTGACTCCGCTACAGGGTTAAAGTGGAAAATAAAAATAACTTTTTATTAGTTCTGAGTTGTCGTGGTTAAATTGTAAATTTTTAAATATTTTTTTTATTTATGAATTATATTTTGCTTTCTTGTACAGTAAAAATGGGTAAATAAACTAAAGAAAATATCTTTAACATCCAATTGTTTGAATAACAACATTAAATTGCACATTGAAATTGCATTACAGAACCCTTAATTTAAAAAACCACATTAAAGTAGCATTTTATCTGAACAATTAAACGAATTGTAATTAAATTAATTGCCGCACATTTTTCTTCCCATTTTCAACCTTTCGCTTAATTCGGACAATCCTTACTTTGCTGGCCAGTGCTTCATTTGGGGCTCATTTTAAATTCAGTCAGGTTAATTGGACTGTCATATACCTGTTGCTCTTGTGTGAACTTGGCCTGGGACTTCCTGACCCCGACTCTGTGGGAAGTTCATGCACATGCATTTAAAATGCTTTTGGGTTTGGGAACACCAGAACCCGCTGAACTGTTCCCATCCAAACAAGCTAATTTTTGATGATATCCACAGAGGGGGTCGTTATGGGAATGGGAATGGGAATGGAAGTGTGTGTGGGTAGGGGGTGGTGCACTGGGGACTAGTACACTAAAAGCCTGTCGCTGGCTGCAAATTGAATCAGTCGTCCAGTGTCCGTGGGCCCTGACTCTGCACTGGCCATCCAATCGTGTGTTCGCCCCGGGGCGAGTTTTAGTGTCCAGCGGGCGGCATGCGCGCTCTCATGAAATGTGACCGCAATTGCGGTTCGTTAGCTGCATTTCAGCTAGTCCGCATCCATGTCAGGGATGATGGGATGCAGCAGGAGCAGAAGCAGTAGCCGAAGCAGCAGCAAAAGCAGGAGCAGAAGCAGGAGCAACACGAGTTTCACCTGCACGTGCTGCCGCCGAAAAAGCGAACCCCAAACAGGCGGTGATGAGTTGGCAAGGTGGTTTTCGAGAAGGGGGAACGGATGATTTCGAAAGGGGTTGGCATGGCGCTGGCCAGCATGACCAAAGCGCCGGGCTTAAGTGGTCCATGCGACCAAAAGCACTTTGACCATGCGGTGGGAAAGCACCCGGCGGCCTGGCACCAGCTCACACCGTTACTAAGGTCCCTACACAGAAAAGAAAGGGGGTGAGTATTTAAATGTATTTTATATATAAATAATTCTAGGCAGCCTTCTAAAAGGTGGGTCCTTAGTTTTTAAAGAAACATATCAAAAGTAGCCCAAAAAATGGTTTGAAATCTTATGAAATTGAGCTGGAAAAAATGCTAACATAAGACAACTTTTTTGAGTAAGACTACTTCTTAATTTATACTTATATAATATACAAATAATAAATTACAATAATAAACATTTCACCAAACATATTTTAAGAATGGTTCCCAAAAATCCTTTTCTCTGTGCATCCAAAGCTCCAGCTTTAAAGCTCTTTGGACCCCAGGTTAAACGCCTTATCGACGGGGATTATTTATGTTGAAAATATCAAACAGTCGAGGATTTCCCAGGCACTTAACGGCAATTAGCTTCGGGGCCGCACACACCTGTGGCTTCAATCCATCGTCGAACTTTTGTCAACCCCTCGGGTATGGTTCTTCATCCCCCCCTTTAACTCCACCTGCATCCGCAATCACAGCTCGACGGGATTTGCGCATCATCAAATGACCAACTTGAGGTAATTACCAACAAGGAGCACACAAAGGCACGCACGCACACAGAACCCCAGCTATACTTTCATCCGGAGAGGAGAGCAGATCCCAACAAGCACAATCTGTCCGGGCACGCACAGAAAAAACTTCTGGCCCCCGTTTGGTGTCTCCTTTCAGCGCCGGCCAACGTGACGAGCATGCGGAATAAGCCGGAGACGAAGGACCAACCCATCGTCTGAAGGGAAGCTCAACAATTTAAACGGATCCCGTGCTGGATTCCAAGGATATGTCGCATTAGCAATGCCCTGACCTACTGATGAGTGCCAAATGAGTTGTTGGGAGAGTGGCCGAAAAGGGGGGCCAGGCTGCACGAGTCTCCTTCCCCCTTGTTACTTCCACCGATTTTGGTCCTTTGGGGAGGGGGTGTGGGTGTTGAATGTGGGTGTGGTGGGCCTGTGACTTTTGTTGCCAAACTAAATATTGTTAGGCAAAGTAAACGATGTTGTAGACTTTGTGCCCGTGGAGTTGGACAGGGGCGTAGGTATAGGGGATAGGTAGAGGTGTGGCAATGGAAACTTGAAGCTAAGAAATTTAGCACAAAATTTAACAAAATAAAAATACCTTAATTATTATACAATTCGGGGAAAAGGCGTGTTTAAGGTATTCCCAAATGAATCCATACTTACTGAAGACCAACAGTTTCCTGATAGGACTCTCTGCTCCGTTTTTACAGCTCCCGAGAATTTCCCTTTATTTTTAGTATTTTCTTTGCTTTTTTTTTTAGAATTCA